GTTTCTCGCCTAATCAAACCAGTTCATCTTAACATGGGCTGCACAAACTTATTTAAATCAGGGGTTCTTAACCAGTTAGGCAGTGTCAGGGGGTTTGGGAGGGTAGACCCAGAATTGTTATTATTAGAAAGAAAGAAAAAAAAAACTATAACAAAAAGCCTAAATGAGAACAATTAATCATTAAAAATTATAGTTGATTCAATTTTTCTGTAGCTAAAAGGTTATATTCAGGTTAAATGTTATATACTGACTAAAGGTTATTGATAGGTGTCACATTAGTTTCATTTGGCATATATTTTCAAAAAATAACATGACAGTGCAGAAAATCAAATTAATTTTTGTCAAATTCAATAATTATAACTCTCCTTTGTCATGTACAGATTGGAAATATTTTTTAAATTAAATATATTGCATTTCTATGAGTAGCGACACCGATAAATGTATGCATTTAATTAACCTGGCAAGTAGTAAATAAATGAAGTCAGAGAGCAAGAAACTAGAATTTTGTAAGGTCTGATCTCATCGCATTCAATTGTCTCATTCAAAAGAAGATTTTCCTATGTTTGTAAAATCAATCCTGATGATTTTGGAACCTGCAAAGGTTGACAGACTCTTGAGTTTTTTATACAAAAGTCATGTGTCAGCTTTTTATCTGGGGGGTGGGGCTGATGCTTTATGTTTTGAAATGAAGAGGGGGGTGTGGCACTGCAAAAAAGGTTAAGAACCCCTATTTAAATATATAAAACTGAAAACTGACGAAAAATTGGGTCAGAAAATGAAAATTTCCGTAATTTTGCAATTCATTATTTCCCTTAGATTTTCGACAATTTTTCTTGTGGATCTAAACTGTATATTTGTTTATTTACTTTGAGGCTGTTAACTGTATATTGTCTATCTACTTTGAGGCTGTCAACTGTATATTTTCTATCTACTTTGAGGCTGTTAACTGTATATTTTCTATCTACTTTGAGGCTGTTAACTGTATATTTTCGATCTACTTTGAGGCTGTCAACTGTACATTTTCTATCTACTTTGAGGCTGTTAACTGTATATTGTCTATCTACTTTGAGGCTGTTAACTGTATATTTGTCTATTTACTTTGAGGCTGTTAACTGTATATTTGTCTATCTACTTTGAGGCTGTCAACTATATATTTTCTATTTACTTTGAGGCTGTTAACTGTATATTTGTCTATCTACTTTGAGGCTGTCAACTGTATATTTGTCTATTTACTTTGATGCTGTTAACTGTATATGTTCTATCTACTTTGAGGCTGTCAACTGTATATTACGTTGGGTGAGGAACAAAGACTCTGACAAGCATGGGTTCATTGCTGGGGCACTGGCTGGTCTGTCACTGAGGTTCTACAGGAGCACCACCATTGCACTCTATGCAGCCACCAAGTTGATTGAAGTAAGCCACACATTACTTAGACGTATTGGGTGGCGCAGGCAGGAAGAGGCTTCACACTTTTTATGAGGGTCAGGGGCTCAAATCTCAGTACATCCAAATGAACTTACCATCCTTCTCTTGCTTATGCTGGGGGATAAACAGGCTCAGTACTGATGCTGCTAAATGCATACTCCATCGGGAACATGGTTCACACATACAAAGAATAAAGCATGTTACAGAATAATTTGAGTAAAATTGGGACACTTGAAATATTGAATTTTTTTTTTTTTAAATAGATGCTAATGAGATATCTTTATGTTTTATTGAGGAATTTAGTACCATTTTACAATTTAGTGTACAGATTTGAAATTGTATTTCTATTTTAATTTTATGACACTCACTCACTGTGCTTTATTGCATGCATTTGATATTTCTGTATTTCTGTTTCATATTACTAATATTTATTATTAAAAATAATCAGTACCCGTACATTTAAAACATAAGCAAATTTGAATTTATTCCCAGATTTTATACTTCAAAGGGATTGAGTCCTATGGATTTCCCTACTTCAAGTCTGCTGACATCTTCATCTACGCCTTTTCCACTGCTTTTATATTCCATGCAGTAAGTTAGGAATGTTCCACTCCTTTGAATTAAAATCTTTCTGTTGCCAAGTAAATCTGAAATGTTTAGACCTAATTTCAGATGCACATATTTAATTGCGAGTCATGGCCTCATTTATTGACATGTAAGCCAAGAAAATCGCCTTCAAAACCATAAAATGAAAAAGTTACGACAAAATGTGTACATTACATGAATATTAATTCATTAGACCTAATTGTCTTAAGTCATCTAATTTGTGCTCATGTTGCCAGGCTGTGATGGAGCCTCACACGCTAAGACCTGGCTATTGGAAGTTTTTACTCAGGGTAACTGATAACAAGTAAGGTCTTTTTATTTTTATATTCTATAGACTGACAATGGTTGCTTATCTTAGACCAGTGGATCTCAACCTTCCAAATGCTGGGACCCTTTAAAACACTTCCTCCTGTGGTCGTGACCCCCAACCATAAAATTATTTTCGTTGGTCTTAGGCCACCCCTGTGTAAAAGTCGTTCAACCCCCCCTCCCCCCTCAAAGGGGTCACGACCCACATGTTGAGAACCGCTGTCTTAGACTAAAAGTAAATTATCTCTGACCAGTATCATATTACACTTCAAATTATGTTGCTGCCCATTTGTAAAGTTTTCACTAAAAGAAAAATATTAAAAACTGCAGCTTTTGATTCCCTGACAACTTTTATTCAGCAAAACATGTGTAACAAGCACTAATCAACATGTGTGTTTAGACTAATCGAGCCCATCAATATCTTTTAATATTTTGCATAATTTTCATCTGATGTATCTTGTGGTAAGATTAAAACACTTGTTATCACTGGCCTCACATTGTTGTCAATCAGATTTGCACTGATGAATCGTCACCTTCTAGACGTGTTTGGTGTCAAATCCTCCAAGATCCAGCCCGACTACTGGCCACAGTATGACCCAGCCTTTACCACCTTGACCCGACCCAAGAGCTAAACTCTTGCTGTGACTTAGAATTTGTTTTTTTAGAAGTGTTGAAATATAATTTCGTTTTAAGATTTTAAAAGGCACCCAGATTATAATTGAAACAAATATTTTCAATGTAAAAAAAAACAAAAACAATGTGTTATCAGTGACAGAAAACTGTACTTAATGCAAAGTTTTTGTGTCTTAATTTACTTTAAAAAATTAGTTGATTGAAAGATATTCAAACTAATGTTAGGCAAATGGACTACGTTTAGTGGGCCTCATTTTTTAAATTTATAACATTAGAAACTAATGTTAAAAACGCATTTTTTTATTTATATGAAATTACAACAAACAAATTTAAATGTTAGGTGAAGTGTGCAAACTTATTTCTCTGTAATTTTTCTGTTCTAAAAATTGTGTGAATGTTTACAAAGGATGTTGTAAGAAAGTGTAAAGGAACGATTCCCAGCATTTGACGTAAATGAAATGTTCAGAGAAAGAAAAAGAAGCAATAAATTACCTAATGGTATGTAATTTGAGATCCTTTGAGGCTGGATGAAAGCCCCTCAAAGGAAGACTAGCACAAATAAGGGTACTTTAATTAACAAAACAAGTTAGTAAAATCGCATGTATAAGTATTAATAGAAATATAATTCAGATTATGGGTAAAATTGGGACCACTGAATCCACAGAATGTTCTGCTGTAACTTTATGGTCCATTTAATTTAAATTCATTGTCTAAATCTGAAATATTTGTTCCACATACCACACAGTTACCATTTATTACAGATCAAATGCTTTGATATTATTTAATTAAATGTTTCTAAGATTTGCCTGTGTTTCATCACTAATAGCCAACAACAAGAATCGATTTTAAAAAAAAATAAATGTGGATATGTGGCATGGAGCCAATGTCTCTTAAGATGATATAAAAAGGAAATGGGAACATCTCCATGTAGGATTTGATTTCTTGAACCTGAGGAGTAACCAGGCAATTTACAGTCAATATATCAGCTCCAGATTGATACATTTTTGCACATTGTAGTCCCGATAATTATGCACTAATCAAATTGTTTGTTTTTTTAAAGCATATTATTCAGAACTTTATAAATTTGTAAACCAAAAAAAATCCTGTGATAATTTGATGCTATATTTTAACAGTAACAGATCCCCTCAAGTGTGTCTACTTTTCTCATTTATCAGCTTTGCACTCATTTTGCCTATTCATTTTGGTCACATCTTTTTTTTTTTTTATAGTCCGAGACTGTGTGCCCAAGTAAACTCAAAACAAATGTAACATTGTGTTATTAACGGCAAGTCATTCACACATCAGATAAAATGAGTAACAGTTTAAAAACCACAATTAATATTCCACCATGGAAGTAGGGGAGTTAACATCACATGAAACAATTATATAAATTTGAAGAGGTGTACTTTTCATTTTAGTACCTAATACCATATATAAATTGATGTCATAGGTTCCCCAAAATTATTTTTCTTAAATGAAATCACATGTGGTCAATGTGAAAATTTTACTCGATTTTATTTTCATATAATGGGATATTCCTTTAAGAGCTATTTTTTAGATTTATTTTTTTTTATACTGAAATTTTTAAATCATTTAATAAACAGAAATATAACAGATTTTTTTTCCTCATAACTTGCATTTCCTTGGCCTCCCAATCATTAGAGGTAACAAAAAAGAAAAGCTTTTTAAATCTAAGATTAACAGACTATTTCTTTTTAAAGAGTTTATAAGTGTGTGTGGGGGGGGGGGGTTGTAGTGTGTTGTTGGTTTCCAATTTACAGGCCTTGCTTTTATATCAGTTCACATTTTTGTATATCAATGGCATTACATATTTTTTTATGTGTTCAATGTTAATAATATATACCTAGAAAAATTGCCACACATTGCTGACATGGATTAATGGATTTTTTTTTTGCAATTTATATTTGAAATGCAAATATCGCCAATCATGCAAATGTCAACTGTTGTTTTATAAAAGATATAAATAAATCATAACTGTTTTCTATTTAATTTAAATGAATTTTATTGTCATTTCATGAAGCTTTACAACAATTATTTCAGACAGCAAGAAATTAAATGCAGTTTATCAATAATTGCACATTGCTGTTTGCTGTTCTCTGGTTTTAAATTAAGTTCAGTGAATGTTATAAGAAAACATTCATCACAGTGCATGATTCAATAAAGCAGTCTACAACTCCACATCTAATGGGAGTGTTAAGAAATGTTTGTGTATGAATGGGAATGTGTTTCAAACAAATCTCAATCATCCCCAAGATTTTGTCACCTGTCTGAAGCAGTGACTAATTCAAACCATTGTCTCAAGGCATCACTGAGGATCTGTGGCATGGAGCCAATGTCTCTTAAGATGATATAAAAAGGAAATGGGAACATCTCCATGTAGGATTTGATTTCTTGAATCTGAGGAGTAACCAGGCAATTTACTGTCAATATATCAGCTCCAGATAGAATTCACTTAAGAAAATTCAGTTTCTGTCAATTAAATTGAATAATTTCTAGCCTAAGTGGTACTTGTTTACTTTCAATTTTTAAAAGTTACTTTGTGTTAACAAAAATTTTAAACACCATTAGACTAGTTTTAAAAATCCTATAACTTACTTTCCCAGTGGAATCCATTAATGGTACACGAGCATCTAAAATTGAACCCTGAAATTTGTATAGAATGAAATTGTAAAACATGCGAAATTAAGCCATCTAAATATTTATAAAAACAATTAACAGATAATGCAAAAGAAAAGTGACAGCTGTTTGCAGTCTTAAAAAAATCAATATTTGTCATCTTACTGAAATTTGTCACTCCCCAGAAAATCTCCAAAATTGCCCAACCCTCATTCCCTGTCTACATATTATGCATAATATTATGTTAAAAAATCAAACTAATGATAATGTTTTTATAATCTCTGCCAACTGGCCCTTGGTGTGTTCTATAATTTCCGACCACCATGTGGAACAAATAAGAGCAAAATAAGACACAAGAAACGCTGCTGGTCATCTGCTGTATCCTGGTCTATATCCAGTCTTGACAATGTCCTGGCATTAGAACAAATAGGCAAGAGGGAGAGGTAGACGAATTGAGCAACTCTCACTTTAAACAAAATATAACTCAAGTCAAGGCTAGTACTCAAGTCAAAGCCTTGTCATCTTCGCGCGCAATATCTCTACCAACTGGCCCTTAGTGTGCTCTATAGTTTCTACCAATCTGGCTCTTTCCAATGAATTTACCTTAGAATCTACTGACCTTTTTTTCAGGATTGTCCATTATTACAAACACAAGGAATATTCTTGAAGCCCTTGCCCTTCGTACTGCTCTTCTAACAAAATCCATTCCTTCTCGAAACACGCCATGGCCATCAGATAATACTAGCAGTAACTGAGCTGTATCTGCATTGCTGACTGTAAAGGGCTGGCGGCTGCGAGCATCCAGCATTAGAGCCATGGCTTTGTCTAGAAGCTAAGTTCAAGGAAATAATTGTGAATCTTTGGCCTGCAACATAACTCACTATATCATAAGTATCATATTTAATACTGTCTACAACAATGGTCTATACTTAATTTCATTGTTAACAATTACTGATGAGGGTCATGGGATATCTCTGTTTAATTTGAATGACGTTCAAATCCTTTATTTTCTTACTTCCTTTATATGACCCACAACGCTTCATCCTCACTTAGTATTGATTTAATACATGTATTAGTTTACAAGATGCTCCAATGTTATAGCACACCAAATGCCATAAAACATTACTACTCTAAGACTGAAATAGACAATAATAAGAAACGGTAAAATGTGAAAAAAAATGTCAATGCTGTGCAAACTCACTGTGCCATTCAGTGAAGCCAGTGAGGATCGTGACATAAAGTAATGTAGCAATCTTTATTTAATTAACACCAATGAAGGGCTAATTTTGGTTGTAAGATTGCTTCACCATGGTCATACATCTAACAATAAACATGAAATCATCTACAAGCTCATACCATTCCGTATTTGGTCTGTTTCTGTTCACAAGACAACTGCTGCAATATTCTGGCTCCAGACTGGTTAGTGAATGGCTCAGAGAAGGGGTGCAGCAGCCGAACTTCTTCTCCAAAGCTGTCAGAGAAGATACAGACCATGTATAAATGTATTAATTAATGTCTATAACATGCTGGTATCTTGTAATATAAAAAAACAAAACAAAAACAAACAAACAAACATAGATAATACCTTCAGTTAACTATGAGGTTAAAGTGAAATTTACCTGCAAACTGCTAACTCTCCAGATTCCAGCAGTGTAAGGGCATTGGACACAAGGGCCAGTGATTCAAAAGCAAGCTTTGAAAGATAAAGACACAAATATTTGTGAACTCAACAACAGCTGCAAATTTTAAGTTCTTTAGAAATGTATAACTAATTCTTTCTTTTTAGATCTGGCAAACAAATTTTCCTTTTTGGTCTAGATATTTTTTTTGGTTAAAAATTCTTCACACAACACACTACAAACATATTTAATATTCTATTGTTCAGCCCATACAGTTTCAAATTGGTTATTCCATGCATGTAACTTACCTGTTTAGAATGATTATCTGCCATGCTGGCCGAGTCATCAACTGCAATCATTATTTGGTACTGTCTCTTGCTGGGTTTACTTCTCCTCAGCCAGATCTTGTCCTTGCGGAATTGTGATGCAATGTATGGGATAACTTTCCTCATGTTCAGCCTCTTGCCTGTTCTGTAATCTCCCCTGTGTGAGCATTGCATTTCATAAAATGAGACACAATTGAGGACAAATCTAGCTATAATAGAAAAAGTTGAGAAACCACTGCTCTATGCAAGAACCACTACTCTATGCAAGAACTACTACTCATGAAATAAAAAAAGGAAAAAAAGACAAATGATCACAGAATACGTTTTTAATAATAATTATTCTGTGACTTCTTACTTGAGCTTGGTGGCCTGTGAAGGTTCTAAAATAAGTCTCAGCTGTTCACACAACTCCTGTGAAAGTGGTCCTGTGATCGCTAGGTATTTCTGCCAAGCTTCACTAGCAGCATGTACCTGCCAAAGAACACAGACATTGGATTTAAGTTGTTTTTTTTTTTGGTTGTATTTTTTGTATAGGAGTTGAATTACTGTGATTACAATAATCAAGGTAAAATGATCTATTTAAATATACATTTCTGATATTTTTAAATTCGGAATATAGTAAATATAGCAGAGCAATTAATATTTTTAATCCATTGTCTTCTGTGTGTGGGGTGATTAAATATGGTCAGCTGTAACTTAGAGCAGCAAAAAGAAGAGAAATCAGTTACTATCTTATGACACAGACATTCTTAGTTGTTGACAAAACTTGAATGCTGACGCAATAGACAAAAAACTGCAATGTACATTGTACTTAGATTTATGAGACAGTATCAACATACCACGTCTGCTTCCATCTCCTCAGGATGTGACCAGAGTTGAACATTTTCTTCTAATTCTCTTCTCAAGTCATCAATGTCTACATCTTGGTTCTGAAACAGTGGACCCTTGAGGTATTACATTTGGGATATTAAAGAAGGGATGCTATTTCTACTGATAGTAAAAGACAGGTCTATTTAATAATTTTCAACTTTACACAGACTTTCCCCTTACTCCCCATGAATCATTTATCTTCCATCACATACGGGGTGGGGTGCCACTCACTGAAAGCTGAGAACCCTGAAATCCCTTTCTAAAAATTTCTTGAAACCTGAAACTTCATTTCCAAATTTTTCAAACCCTGAAACTTAATGAAACTCATTAATGCATACACTGTAGAAATAATTTCTTGTGCAATTATTACAAACGAAAGCAAAAAGCTTGCAAACAAAAGCGAGATGTTGCTGCAGTACCTGTTCTATTTATAGCGAACCCGTTCTCAATGAATAGGCTTTCGCGCATTTTTTTATTTTTTTTTAAAACCCAGAATCCGTATTTGAATAAACTGAACTGGTAAACTGAAAAATATTTAGCCTCACGAATACGGAATTCCAGGATAATACGGAAAAGTGCCATCCCTGATCACATAGTCAATAACTAAAGTGACATCAGCTCTATTCATGTGAGATGTTCATGAAATTACCACCATGGCTTCTTTCTTGATGCTCTGTCATTTTTTTTTATATTTTGTTTATTTTAGCAGGTAACAAACATTTTTTGGGTTCCTTACAGCATATTTTGTGCAGAACAATGTTTCAGCCAAGATAGGCAGCTACAACTGACTACAGCAGGATTTCAGTAACTTCCAAATTAAATCTGTTTATCCCTCAGGTGTGGATATTTCATGTGGCTGGGATTCCATTATCATTTTTAACACCAATTATTTCTTCCTTGGTTTAACTTGGCACTTACCAAAAAATCTAAATGAAGGTTCTCAATCTGAGTATGGATGGTAGACTCGGGTGGCCTTTCAGCAGTCATTGTGAGCACTCTCTCTCCCTCTACGGTCACATTCTCTCTCTCCATGGATGCATTTTCTCCACTTTCTTTATCTGTGTCTACCTTCTCTTTGCTCTCAACAGGTCGCTTCTCATTTACTTTTGATGTGTTCTGAGAAATTTTTTAAAGTAATTTCTTACATTAATGGAGAGCAAATAGAGAAGTATATTTAAATAGTAGTATTTTTAGTACACAATCGTTTTGTGAACAAACATAAATAAAAAGAGCAGTGCTTTCCAAACCCTGTGTGGCACACAGTGGTGAGGAGCCTGTGGTCTGTCACGTGCAAATAAGTCATAGCAACATTCACGCATTCTAAAAGTCTTTTTTTTTTAATACTGAAAAATAAATTGAGAATTTATAGACAAAAATCATGTGAATGGTGAATTATATCATAAGAAGATTTCTTCAATCAAGACTATTTTACAAATATTTGTGAATAAATGGAAAAAGCTGCTACTACACACACAAATTCGTTTGTTCTCAGTTCAGGTGCTTGTCCAGTACACAAATTGAGGGAAATAATGATCACATATTTTGTAGGAAAATAAGCAAAGTAAATTTTGTGATCTAATTCAAACAAACTTTGTAAGCAAAACAGAGATATCATTATCTTGCTAAAGATTTAATATTCTTATGAAATAAACACCAACATGCAAGGAAAACATGAAAATAACTGAGGTACATCAAATTTGTGCTATGGAAGACACCATTTGGAAATGGAAACTGAAATAAGAAAATTTGGACTATTGCGACACAGCTGGGCGCAAACTAAAATATGATAACGGCTCGCTATTTGTGGGTCATTGGACATTGTTCCAGGAGAATGATCATCCTTACTTCCCAAATGTTAAAATCCCAGCCTATGATAATGTATCCAATTTTGTCAAAAGTGTGGTGAACATTTCACTTCCTCAATAAAAATAATAAACTGAAATAACAGATGATTTGTATGCGTTCATAAAGTAGAAGTGTAGAAGAGTGGTTTCAAAATTCCAGCCAAAACTTTTAAAGAATTTTTTTTCATGAGATATTTCTCGCCTCCATACATTGCCCTATTACACTTGATGTTTTTGCACGTATGTCTTAAAATGGTTTAGTTTAATCCCCTGTAACCTGGTAAAACCGACCGACTGATTCCAACAATGATGTGTGCCTAAAATGTGTCGCCAACAACATGAAAAGTTTGGAAAGCACTGAAGTAGAGCATGGCTACTTCATAAGTTCAAAGCTTATTTTAAGCTACAGATCCTCATAGACATAGTAAAATTTAATGACTTAGAAACCTATTTGAAACAAATTAGTATGACAAATATGACCCTAGTCACAACAGCTCACGTTTTGACTTATTTTAACTAATAATGCCAGAATGATATATTCAAGTATGAGTTTTACGGCTCACTATTAGGAATTCATTCCATCCACATGATCCACTCACCAAATCTTCTGTGTCCTCATCCTCCATCTTCATATCCTCCTCCTCCTCCAGCAGCTCGTCCCCCTCCATTTGTGTCGGCACGGCCTGCTTCTCTTGCATCTGTTCTTTGTTGGCCACATCCACTGTCTGGCCGTCGGCGTGTGACTTGGCATCCTTGACATGCTCATACTCTTTAGAAACAGCTTCTTCTTTAGCTTCATTCTCCTCTGTCTCCTTGTCCAGGGTCTCAGACTTGTCCTTTGTCTTGAGGCGACGATGTTCCTTCTCATGTGACCCAAGAGACCTATCATTGTCTGACTGCCCGGGGTTTCTCTGGATCTGATAAAAAGTATAAATGACCAGCTGAGAACTCTGTTACAATTTAATAGGTATTTTAAAATCTTAAATAAAAAGTCACTGAGCATTAAGTCCAGGGCTATGCAACCATTTTCGGATTAAGTAGCTGCAGGCTGGCCACAGCTTATCAGCAGATTCATTTAAGGTGCTGTCATCAAATTTATTTCATTATTTCAATCACTTTCAGGAACAGGCTAATCACATGACTGCGCCAACACATAAATATGATGTCCGTATCTTTGTTTGTGTGGTCAATTCAAGCTGTTCATTAAGCTTCACACAGGTGTTACCTTTTTTTGTGCCTGAGGTGCCGAGCCATCAGTTGTCTGACTAGACTTCTGTCCGATGTGTCCATCCTGATCTTCTGAACTGGCAGCACCAACTCCTTCCTTCTGAAAATACAAGCACATAAGGTTCATGAAAATACAAGCACATAAGGTTCATGAAAATACAAGCACATAAGGTTCATGAAAATACAAGCACATAAGGTTCATGAAAATACAAGCACATAAGGTTCATGAAAATACAAGCACATAAGGTTCATGAAAATACAAGCACATAAGGTTTATGAAAATACAAGCACATAAGGTTTATGAAAATACAAGCACATAAGGTTCATGAAAATACAAGCACATAAGGTTTATGAAAATACAAGCACATAAGGTTCATGAAAATACAAGCACATAAGGTTCATGAAAATACAAGCACATAAGGTTCATGAAAATACAAGCACATAAGGTTTATGAAAATACAAGCACATAAGGTTCATGAAAATACAAGCACATAAGGTTCATGAAAATACAAGCACATAAGGTTTATGAAAATACAAGCACATGAAGTTCACTTCCTTGGTTAACTTGTTTACATCTATACAACCAAGTTTTTAAGTCACTGTGTTATGTTTAACTTTTTGTATCAAAATTAAGTTGATTTGCTTGAAATAAAACTTTTTGACAAATCTGTACAATAGAATGCCCAAATCAGAAGGGTCTACAATTTTCAACCTTGTTATAGCAAATCCACAGTTAATAAAAAAAATAAACCCTGACCTCTTCCTGGTCATCCTCATGCTTATCAGCTGCTTCCTCTTGGTCAGCATCCCCTTGCTTACTGTCAGCAGCGTCAGGCGTCTGACTGGTCTGCCCTGAATCTACCGTCTCTACTTTATCTTGTGTAGGGTTATCTTCCTTATCTCTCCTCAATTCAGCAGTGGGTTTTTCTTCCTCCTTCAAATTATGGAAACATCCAAATGAGCAAAAGTCAAAACTCTAAGTTCGTTATAGGATAAACCTTGTGTGTACTTTGGTCCAATGAAAAACTCAAATGTCAAATGTTTTGCATCCGCACTAATGTGTTACAATAAAATATTCATTTTGCATAGTGGATGAATGTTATGAGTTAAAATGCAGATAAGATAAGATACTTACAGGACCATTAGTTCCTTCTTCTTCCCCTTCACCCTCCTCTTCCTCTTCTTTCTCTGCCTTCTTATTTCCAGCATCTTCTTCCTCCTTATTGTCAATGCTCTCTTCACCATTCTCATCTGCTCCCGGCTGATCCTGCAGACAGAAACATTTAACTTAAGTGTTAGCTTTTGTCATTTTAAATTTTCTACATCCTTTCGTTCATGTTTAACTAATGTCCATGCCTTGCGTATCCTCTAGGTCACCAAACCCGAGGATTAAAAAAGACATGAATTACTGTTGCAGTCAGTATTGATTAAACAGGTTCTCACAACAGAAGTAGAGACCCTGCCCTTTTGCTGCAGTTCAAAAAGTAAGCTGAATGAGACACATAAATGCTTTAGAAAGCAGTACAGCACTGTACCAAGTTAAGTGTTACAAAACTGAGATTGCTCTTAACATACCAGACATGAACAGCTCTTGTTAGAAAACTTGATAACAATAATGATTTTTTAGAAATTTTTTTTTGCTTAAAACATTTATCATTTAAATTTAAACATTTCAAATTTTACTTCATTTAAAAAAGTTAAAACAAAGCATTAAAAAAAATATTGAAATAAGTAACTGGTAAACATTGTTATTCATTTTATTTTAGGTATGTAAATTGTTTTTTTCTTTGTAAAGAACTTGCAACTTGGTTCAAATGCAGCCAAGGTAAGCTAAAGTAAAAATGTACCAGTAAAATAAATGGCTAAATTTAAGTTTTACATAGTCATGAAGTAAGAGAAAAAAAATCAACAGGTGACGTTGTTTCCATTCCCTCACACATGGCGTTCAGGTTAAATGAAAAGCATTATCAGTTAAGATAGGTCAGTGTGACACTCCCTAGTTTTAGCCTTTAACTCACCCGCACCTGAGATCAGTGTCCGATTTACATGATGCAAGCCAATATGTTTTGAGCCCTTACACTTTTCTAATACCTGGCAAGACTTGAGCAAAATCTTGCACATTTTACTTGACTTACTTGTCAACCCACAAATCATGGTGCATCTAAATATTTACCTGTTCATTAGTTAGGTCATCATTATTATCATCCTTGGCATCTTCCTCCTCATTCAGATCTGCATCCTCTGTATTCTCTCCCTTTTCTTCATTTTCTACATCCATGTCCTCCTCTACAGATCCAAATAAATCATGGGAAATAATTCAGGCTTAAAAATGTGCAACACATCACTAACTTACTTTCCCAGCAATAATTTAAATGTTCAACTAATGTCCATGCCTTGCGTATCCTCTGAACCAAAAGACTCAAGGGTTAAAAAAGACATAAGTTAATGTTGCAGTGGTATTGATAAAACAGGTTCTCACAACAGAAGTAGAGATCCTGCCTTTCGCTGCAGAGCAACATAACAAAAATACAGTGAAGCCTCCGTGTAATGGGATAATTGGGGTCCATAACATTGGATCCCATTAATAGTGGGGTTGCATTAAGTTGTTTAAAAAAAAAATATTTGGGATTAAAAGTAGGAAGGTATGTCCTTTTTAGTAAAGGAGGTTTTTAAGCTATCATGGCTAGTGTTCTATGTGGTGGGTAGTGATTAATGTGGTGGATAGTGATCTATGTGGTGGGTAGTGATCTATGTGGTATGGGTTTGTGATTGTGTTGTATGAGAATATATATGTATTTATTGTTTACTTTTTTTTCACTTACTTTGACCAAAAAATATCTATGTGCAAATTTTTTTTTTTAAATTTGGGATCCATGCCAAAAAGGCATTTTATCCAAATATGCTTTAGATATGCATTGAAAAAAATTTATTCTACTACATTTATTGTATTGTTGAGAGTAGTAGCCTGCTTAGAAAAGTAGTGGGTAACAAGTGATATTTATCAACATCTTTAACAAATTGCCTTTAAGCAAACAAAATCTAGACATAAAAAAAAATCTATTTTGGATGACTAGTATAATGCAATGGTAATATTTCAATAGTTATTTACTTTAAAAAATTACCCAGACAACTGGGGATCTAAAAAAAATTAAATTTAAGACATCAACTTTTAACGATGTTAGTTTTTGGGTGTATTAGCATCATGAATTTGTTCCAATGGGAACAGGCTACGGCAATATGTTTCAAGTTTATCATTACAAATATTGTTGTAGAAAGTCATCATACAAAGAAATCATCAGTGAAACATTTACTCAAATAATTGCAATTAAAACTTTTGTTGGTTCAATTATATTAAATATAATAAATTAATAGTTTAATAGCCTGTTAATGACTTTACCCTATAAAGTTGACTCGTTTGACCACTTGCCCAATAATAATTTAAATGTTGAAATATTCCCAATAATAGTTTAAATGTTGAAATACTGTCTATGCCTTGCGTATCCTTTAAGCCACCAAGGCTTGAGGGTTAAAAAAAAGACATGAATTTACTGTTGCAGTCCGTATTGATTAAACAGGTCCTCACAGCAGCAGTAGAGACCCTGCCGTTTCGCTGCAGCCACTAAAGTAAGAAGGCAATGGCTTGTCAAGTGTTAAGTTAAACCAATACCTTTACAAAACCATCACTCTTAATAGAAAGTTAATTTTTCTTCTGCAACATTGAATAAAATAAGCAGCAGAATGTGAAATGTCACATTTATATTAGTGAAAGGTGAATACCAAAAAAATTATTATCGAAAAGTGATAAACACATTTGTGTGTCTGATGCAGACCAACCTTTGTCTTTTCTGTCCCCTTCATCCAACTTGAGGTCTTCAGGTAAGTTCAAGTCCTCTGCTTCTTTTTCTTCTTCTGGGTTGTGAGGGTTCACTTGATTGTCATCATAGTCCTCCTGATTGGATCAAACAATTCATCCCTTCTTCATCTTTTATAGATGTATACAATCATTACGTTAATTTACAAAAAATATTTTTCATTTTAAAAAAACAAAAACAAAAAAAAACAAATATGGTTGAATGCCTTCAAAACCTCCTTCCTAATGTATAGTAAAAAAAATGTCATTTATTATAGGGAAAAAATGGATAGTAACATCGAATGAAAATGTCCATGCTGTGCAAACTCCCGAAGCCAAATCAAAAAGCCAGAGAGGATCGTTACATGACTTCATTTTGCAGTGCGGTCAAATGTGATACTACAATAGTTAAGGTACCATTACCAGCCTACACTGCAGTTCAGTTATTATAAAAAGTATGATATGCAGATGAATGTCATGGCCAGACACAGGATTCTTGATACAAAATTAGAGCAAAGGTAATATGGGTAGTGAGGATTGGGAGAAACAAGATCATTCATTTAATTCTGGAATAAAGAAAGGTTTTATTGACATCTCCTGGGTTAATAACAAAGACCAGTTAAAAAAAAGCCAGCTTTGCACAAGCATGAAGTCGAAGATCTAGTAAAAATTCAGAGACCTCTGCAGTCATTTCTGGTTTGCATCAGATCCGCTAGATGTCCTCTAACATCTCAAATTAAGAATGGAAATAAAATTATAAAAATGTTATAATTTTTCGCCACCAGTAAGAGAGCTATGGCTCCCCATGGCAATGTATCACACCTTTTGTGAAGCACTGTTTCAAGTAGTTCACTTGTGGATAGGTCTCATTCAAAATACCTTTAGTAAAATGTATTTAAATTTAATTGGTTCAAAACCATTTTCAAATTACAAATACAAAACTAACATCCTTTAAAAAACATGTAATGCTTCCTAAGGAAAAAAATAATAATTTGGTCTACGATAGGGAACTTATAAACATTGACAATGTCCATGCTGTGCAAACTCCCGAAGCCAAAAAAAATAAGCCAGAGAGGATCGTTACATGACTTCATTTAGCAGTGTTTTTTTCAAGGTGGTACAACAAAAATATGGTGTACCATACAAGCATACACTGCAGTTATAACACAGTATGACATGTTGGGGGATGTCGTGCCCAGACACAATATAAATGAAGCAAAAAATAGAGGTATGATAACATGATATAAAATACTGTACATCTTCCTCCATCAGGTCCTGGGGCTGATCGCTGGTCTTTTCATCCTTGTCTTGCTGGTCATCACTTTCCTGTCCCTCAGTTTCACCTTTGTTCTCCTCTTTAGCCACCATTTCTTCCTTCTGTCTGTCCATCCCCCCGCCATTTTTGTCATCTTTGCTTTCCTGGTATAAGCAAGCACAAGATTAATTTATCATCCCAGAAACAAAAATATTTAATGCAAAGAGAATCCCTTTATTAAATAATATATAAAGAATTATTTTACAACTTTTTGCATTAGAAACTTTTTCATAATAAACTGCATCATTTACTGTATAATAAAATATGTTTGACCAAAGAAATTAAGTAAAAGAAAGAATTTCTAGAGCAGGATCACAAGGTTTCTATGTGATTTTAAAACATTGTTTATGGTGTGCAAACTCTCAAACCCAAGACAGACAAGAGAGGATCGATGCATAGTTCAATATAGCAGTTTATGTGTGTCACAGGTCAAACAAATCAACTGTGATATTAGATCATTTTTTAAAAACTGCATTCATAGATCATAGTGAACTCATCTCATAGGCATCCTTTGATATTTTGTACAACATAGGTCAAATCAAAACTGTATAGTGTAGTGGTGAGGACTGAGCAGGAGTTATTTAAAATGACAAAAACTTCATAAATAAAATAAAAAAGAAATTAAATTGTTCAAGGAAAGGTTATATTGTTCAAAGTTTTTTTATTTTTGGATCTCTCTGTCATCGTTTCTTGCCTACCTCCTGCTCATCTTCTTCTTCCTCTTCATCACTCCCCCACATTCTGTCATCCAGTCTATCGTTGTCTTCACCGTCAGCTTCACCCATTTGTTTATCCATTTCATCTTCTTCTTTAGCATCGTCTTCATCATCTTCACCCTTTTCTGTTCAAAATACATGATATGATACCATTTGAAATCTAATTTTAATTTTATAATGGAAGCAATCAAAGAATATGTAAAAGTTAACTTGTAAATTGCATAAAACTATTCATAAATCATTTATTGAGACATCATATCTGTATCCAACAGACTTTTTAATTAATGTTATTAAATTGGCTAAATAGGCAATGTGGAGAAAGAGTTGACAAAACTGATAAAGAAAGAATAGCTTTAAACAGCTTTTTTTTCCTTGGGCAAGGGTGGGTAGGTAGAGTAGATTTAGCCAGGACACAACACAATACACCAGGGGTGGGCAAAACTTTTTGTGCGTAGGGCCACATTGACAAATGTAAAGCTATTGGGGGGCCGCATATATTTTATGTCCACTTTGGTTACAGCACCCTATCATATAAGACATTATGACTTATTTATTGGTTATTAAATAGTATAAATAACCAATTACTGCGATTTTATTTTACTTATACACATATATTTTATTTTACAATAAACTGACTAATTTGTTTGAAGATTTTACAAATTTTTATTATAATAAAAAATTGTTATTATCTATCAATGGCTTTTATTGAGACACAAACCGATTACATTGTCATTACTATTGTTGATTCCTAATGTAAAGGACACCTTACAAAAAAAAAAGAAAACGGGAAAGAAATTTTATTTAAAACAATCATAACGGTACATGAAATTCTGTAAAACTCAACGAAAGAGCTTAAAAATGAAGCAAAGTTTTTCTTTCTAAATGCTCCCGAGGGCCGCATAATATCAGTTGTTGGGCCGTAGTTTGCCCACCCCTGCAATACACAATACATCCATTCCACTGTCCTTGCTGTGCAAACTCCCAGGGCCAATGCGGACAGCCAGAGAGGATCGTTGCACGGTTTAATGTAGCAGTGTGGGTGGCATTTGCTTTACTATTATAATTAATAGAAAGAAATAGATGCCTTGACTGCTCATAGAAACTATCTTATGGTGTGCGTTCTCCAGTGGTTTGTTACTGGAATAAGTATCTTTTTCTCCCACCTGTGTCATCATTATCATGCAGCTTCCCATCAAAATCATCTGACATCTCAATAGCATTATCTTCAGATGGGATCTCTGGCTCCTCCTTGGGTTTTTCTTTTTCTTCTTGGCCTGGTCGTTTTGCCTCATCCAGCTAAGTGAAGAAGCAACATTTCAATATAATGTTTTATTTATGGACTGAAAATCTCTTTGGGTTGTACACACATTGTAATTTGTAATGTATTGACAACCCTGTGGCATATTAAATAGCTTTAAAAAATGAATAGATTCACTATTTGCCCAAACACAGAGTTTGACAGTTTATACTAGTTTCCAAATGCAATAGGATTAAACAGGACATTGCAGAAATGTCACTCACCTGATCTTCTGATTCTATTTGATCACTGACATCTTTTGCTCCCTCACCCTCTCCCAGGCCTCCACCTTCTATGTCCTTGAACTCAGTTGCCCCTTCACCGTCAGCCTCTTCGCTTAGCTCTGGTGGAATGCAGAAGCCCTGTTGATAGATTTTATTTCACATGAATTACATTTCTACCTTAACAACTGTATCAGTCAATAAGTACCAGACAAACAGTTATTACTCAGGTGGATTTCTTTCCATGTAAAAAATTTAAGCCTAAAAGATTTTCTATCAGTTTAGCCCAATTAGTTTAATGGTTTTTGGGAAACCGTTTTGTTAGCCTTTTCCCCTCAAAAATATGACATGACTGCTGTCTGTACAGACAACTTTGAGTCCTATTTTTATAATAAATCTTAATCAGAAACTGCTTAAATTATATCTTTTTAATTTTAAAGGTTCCTGGACTGACCTGTTCCAGAATAAAATTAGTTTAAAATTTCACTCCCTAGGCTAAAGTTTCAAAAAGCTTATGATATCAGGGGAAAAACAGACAGGTTTCTTAGCTGAATTAAAAAAAAGAAAATCGCAACATTTGTATTAAAGATTTTATATTCATTTTCACATCAACTATTATCTTCTGCTACAAAATTCACATTTAAACATTATCTTACCATCTGAGCCAGCTCTCCATGCACAGCTAAATTAGCTGTAGATTTAAACATTATCTCACCATCTGAGCCAGCTCTCAACACACAGCTAAATTAGCTGTAGATTTAAACATTATCTCACCTTCTGAGCCAGCTCTGTAAACACAGCTAATAGGACTGACAACAATTTTCCCATGGATCGATGAAGAGCTAAAGAATGCCCAAGCTGATGTTCCACCAGAGAACTGAAGGCCGCCACCAGGGGCTGTGCTTGCAAGAGTGACTGGACACAGAGAGGAACACTTTCTTTGGCTTCAGAGCTGTTTGTTGTTGTCTTGTCAGTGGTGTCTGAGATGGTGCAGAGGCTGGACATCAGACCTTCAAGCATGGTGGTAACCTGACGGTAAAAGAATCAGAGCAGGCATACTGAATACAATGATTCTCAAGCCAATATTTTAAAACATGTATCTTTCAGTCTCAATGGTAACCATCTAAAAATCATTTATATAGAACTGCTTTACTTCATGCATATAAGAGTTCTTAGTTTGAGCATTTTCTCTTTGGAAAAAGATTGTAGGAGAACAACGTAACGTTTACCTTAGAACAGTTCAGGTTGGTGACTGTGTTTTTTTCCATATCCAGCAAATGTTTTGTTAAGTGGGCATCTTTCAGTTCATCTGTAATAAAAAATTTTTTAAAGTTGGCTATTTGATTAAAACTAATAACATTTTTTTAAAACCAGATAAGTCATTGAAATATTGTATTAAAAAAAATAATAGTGTTTCACATAATTTTATTAAGCTAAATCAATATCTGCATGATGGAATTATCAAAATCACAGATCATATGATACAAATTAAAACTGTTTGTTAAAAGGCATATATGATGGCCAATAACTTATCTAATCCCCTTTAGTGTATTAAAACTAACCAAATAGAATCAGTTATATGATGAACGTGTAGATTTCTCAACAATGATCTGGTAATTAAAAAAACTGAATAAATATTAAAATGTTAATATAATGTTCAAACCTTCTAAGCCAACACCATTACTATCTTCCTCTTGTCCTAATCTTGTATTTTTCTGTTGAACCTTGATGACATTCTGCACACTGAGCAGCACTGATTGTACACATGACTCCACCCTCTGCAGGAAGTCTTTGGACAGTTCCCCACATGAGACATTGTCTGTAAGCCTGGCCCGCACCAGGGGCGACTGAGGTAAAACTTTGCCTGACCTCAAGCTTAGCCCAGGCACTGTTTGTATGGGCTGGTCCTCGGGTTCAGGTAAGTCTTGTTCAACATGGAGACTGTCCCACCAGTGGAAGAACTGTTGTTTTAAGGACAAGACCTCAGAGGATAAAAATGTCAAGGATGAAACAAGGCAGCTGCTGGATCCGGACGGATCGGTGAACTGGGAACTTATGTCAGCAAAATGTCCAGTCAAAGATTCATACACCTGGAGTGTTTTGGAAACGGTTGACATGTCTGATCTGAAAACAAGAATAAGTCAAGTTAGAGAATTTATAAAGTAAAATAAAGGACTTTTAACATGACAATCATGTGTAGCATAATATTCAGTCCAATTACAATTTTTCTTTTCGACGTCAAGACATTTTCAAGTGAAAATGTATTGAAGTGAAAATGTTTTAAATCATCTTAAACTTTTCTTTTAATAACCAAACTTGAACATAAAAAGGTTTTTAGAATGTAGATTTTTACCTTCCAAGAACTGATTTTTCAAGAATCCTGTCAACTTTTATCTGCTCTTCTTTAACTTCCTTCTGCAATGTCTGAAAAACACAACCAAAAAAAATTAATGGTTAATTTAGAAAATAAGTGGTGTGCAAAGCTCACCATTTACAACAACAGGCTGAGATCTCTACTTAAAGTGATACATGAAAGCACAACTACCTGAACAAGTTCATAACAGTGTGTCCAGGCTGCGTCCCCCTTAAACCAGAGGGCGGACTGAGATAACTCGACTGTAGGGAGAGGTGAGGGGTGCACTGATGTCAGAGAAGATTCTAGCTGTGATGATGGACAGAACTCCAAGACCAGGGCGAATTGGGCAAGACCTTGAAGGAGCCTGGTTGTCAGCTGTTTTATTCTGGCCTGGGGATTAAATCAATTAATAGCTGATCATTGCCGGATTATGCCTTTATATAAATTCCATGAGTTGTAAACCTCTTACTTGTTAAAATTATAATTTGAAAATTAAACATAAGAAATTTAATTGTATAGCAACATACATTTCTAAAAGTTATTTGTAACAGTAACATTGGTGCATTTGGCATTCTTGCATCTGGCCTTCAGAACAAATAATGCTGGCCTTCAGCACAAAAAATGCATCTATTTCATTTATTGAAAACACAAAAATTCCTGCTACTGTGTTTCAGTGAAAGCCATCACCAAAGAATATTAAGCAGTGTGGATTGTAAAAGTGAAATAAATCTTTCTTAAAGCAGTCCCTGGGACCACATTTGTGCTATCCATCTTTTCACTTACCAACCAAGAATGGCTTTGGGCTTGAGGGGGTAAATTATAGCTGGACAACTCTTCTAGCGTTTTTAGTGACTGCAACACTTTTCTGAAATTTTAATTAAATGTAGAAAACATTAAATAACTGAACAATAGTAGTAGGGTAGTTTTCTTTACATCTCCCAACCCCCACACCAAAAAAATGTATCAATAAGGAATTTAAATTTGATAAAGTATAGGATTATACATAATAACCAGGAATAATGTATAAAAAAATCATCTGAACTGCTTAACACTTGATAATAATAAGTCCAGAAGATCTCGGTAAATTTCATAAATGACTAGGAATGAAATAAGTTTCCACCAGTGGGTGAATACCTGAGTGACAAATATCCAAAAGTGAGATCTGCCAGTCGAATTCTTTGATCGACGTAGAGTTGTGAAAAGTGTTCAATAAAGCCTCTGCATCTCTCAGTGTCACCCATACTCAACTCCTGTTAAATGAACAAACACACGGTCTCGTATTCAAGAAACAACTATTATTGGACACACTTAGATTAACTAAAACAAGTTTGGACAACTAATATCTTCCCCTTTAATTATTTGGACTTCAAAGTTATGGTGCTGGTGTCTCCGAACCCACTAACGATCCTCTAAACAATTTCCAGAGGCCCTCAAAGTATATATTATAATTTGTTAAACTAGACAACGTTAAAAAGCTATATGTAGCGGTATTGTGGCCTTTAGGTCACCAAAATGTCTCTTTGGATGTTTAGAGTTTCAGGGTCCTGATATAGAGCTGCTAACAGTCCCTCATATATATTATCCTTCATATATTTTTCTTTTCTTGAATTTAAAGTTCCATTTTTCCTAGTCTGTGTACATTGTTAAATATGAACAGAGTTTTGTCAACATTATGTTTATAATTATTTATGTCAATAACTGTCAAAAACAACATGACAAAGTTAGAGATGCTCTTACCTTGGAGGGTGAGATGATGGCTGAAGCAAACTGAGCGTGCCTTGAGATACATCTGTAGAAGTAACTCTCACTGCCTGTCCACAAGCTACAAACTGGAAGCCTAAGAAGAACAGAAGATTTGATTAGAGTGGAGACACTTTGACTTTATCAAATGTTAACTAACATATCAAATGTTAAATAACATAACTCAGCACAGAAACCCAAATGAAAAAAGTATATCAAGTTCTGAGCTTACGTTGCGTGAGAATTGAGATTTAATGGGGGCAGTTCAAGGGCTTCAGTCAGCACCATGGTGTTTTTGCCAGTCACTCCTTTGCGATAAGAAAGACCTGGAGAACAACACAATGATCACATTTAAATTTAAATCATATTTTTCTAAATAATCCAACGTAAAACTTCCAACACCAATGTTAATCTAGCTGTTTAGTACTTACCAATAAGAGAGAGGTATTTGAATAATTCTGATAAGCCTTTCCGTTTCCTCAAGTTGACAGAACGAGCCTCGGTTTTTTGCTTTTCTTTTTCTGCAGCCTAAATTGGAAGGCAGAAACAAAAATATTTTCAACTGTAATATTTATATCAAATGTTATACACAGCAAAATAATTCAGGATTTGAAACTAGAGCAAAAGCTGAAAGTCTTATAAGTTGTTTTAAAAGCATGAAAAATGGTTTTAAAAAGTACTTAGATTATAAGTAATAGATATTTACCGCATCCACATGAAGTGCTTGTAGCTCATGCATCTCCTGGATAAGTTCCCCTGGAAACATAAACAATAATTAATTAAAATAGATTGTTTAAGACACGCTTTATTGTCTATTATTAAGTGTAATTAAATTATCCAAGAAGTATAGCCTAACTTAAAAAAACCATGAGCTCACTTTTGTCTATCAACTCACCAGTGAATCCATCAAAGATTAACATCTCCTTGGCATATTTTGACTCGGCAATGCAGGTCTGTAAATGGCTCTTCATCTTTTTATACAATGTGGGGACCCTGGGTAGCAAGCTAAGCAAGCCAATGAGGTTGGAGGGAGCACTGAAGCTTTTCAAATCCTAAGATGGGATTGAGGTCATTTGACTCATGACAACAACAGATTAATGAGAAAGAAAGAAAAGATTTGGAAAGGAAAGAAGAATGAATGTAGTAAACATGGAAAGAAAAATTATCATTCCTATGCAACTTTATGCATTTACCATTTACATAACATCTTAGCCTATCATCTGATCAACAGCCCTACTTACTCCTGAAATTATTTTGTTCAGGTTCTCTAGAACAGCCTTGGTGAAAACAGCGATCTTTTCCTCAATGGAGAACCCCTCTGTCTGCTTGACCGCCTGGGATACCAAGTCATCTCCTTTGTCTCCTAGTACAGTTTTCACTGGTTGGTTTAAAACAGTCTGAAAGTGAAAATAATCATAATTTCAAGAAAAGATAAAAAAATTAGTAAGTTGTACAATACCAGATAAGTAAACCATTTAAGAATATTCATAGATTTATTTGAAATGAAAATCATTTTGTTAACAAACCTGGTACTCTTTGATGTACTTGTGTACCGTGCGATGAGTTTTCTCAGTGGATGTTTTCAAAGCCCAGTAGTTCATATCACTCCAACGTGCAATCTTGACAAAGCCCTGCAACATTTGTTTAAATTGAAGTTGTTTCATCAAGGGCTCAAAAGAACTTTAAGAGATTTAACTTGCACAATATGATAATCTAAACTGAAAAGATCTAAAACGAGATGGGTTACTGAATTAAATGAGAAATTATTTTCCCCCATACCTTGAGCTGTTTGTCTATTGGAGTCCTCATTTTCTTGATTTCCCCTTGAATTGTAGGTAGGTATTGTTTATAGAACTGATACACATTCCACAGCATGTACAAAAGTTTTTCTTTTAAAAAAATAAAAGAATCACATTAGATTCACTGATTAAACATTCACAGAATAGTTCACAGATAAAACATTAATATAATAGATAAAATAACTTAGAAAATATCTCAATGTTTAATATTTATAAAGATTGGGTCACTCTTAAAAATTTAAATTTATGGTAAACTTTCTATCTATTCATATATGCTTTAGAAAGCCACAATAATTTCAATTTTTTACAAATAACCCTAAGTAATATGTAAAATCAAATTACTCTGGGCAGGGCACTTTTCCATGTGTAGCACCTGGCAATGGAAGGCCAGTAACATCTGAAGACGCACTTGATATTCTCCTACTGTAGCACCTTCCATAAACTTCTTCAGTGATTCCAGGGTATCCACTTTGGTTTTCTACTCAAGAAGAGGTTAAGTTTTTTTTTACATAACAAAATGTTCCACTCCTCCTCTGGCATTATCACACTTACATTAATAGTCTTCAAACAACAGAAATAAAAATAAAATCTTATAGAGCTCATTCCACTAATCGTTACCTGATCTTTGTTGTAAGCAACAAGTTCATTGCCTGTTAGGAAATCCGATGTCAGCTGATAGAGATGAAACCACCACTGACTGGCTTTTTCTTTACACTTTTCTTCCTCTCTGTCCAGAGAGCTACTCCAACAGCTTACAAGAAAAAACATCCTTTTAATGAACTCAGCTAAACTATTATAAACACTGCTCAGGTAGACGTGTAAAATTCTAATGCAATGAATATTCTAATTTGTTTTGTAAAAAGCTGAAATTTTATTAACATAGATGATCTATATTTTATTAACAGCACTTACACAAGACAAGCACTTACTTATTATATCTTTCTACACCATCCAAAGCTAGCCAATCTATTTATAAACTGCTTAAAGGTCTGTGTTCCAGAGCAGAGACAAGTGTGTATGTAAACAAGCTAACCTTAACTCCAGTTTCCTCCAGTCCACAATGACAGATGTAATTTCAGTGAGTTGAGTTGAAAGTGAAACATAACACGCAGCATTGCTCTCCCAGTCCTGTTAAGGGAATAGTTACATATTATTTGTCTATATCTGATGTTGTCCTGGATTTAAGATTATGTAGGTCAACTAAAGATGACTTAATTGAAACTACATTTACTTGTCTTTTTTGAAGATAAAAACTCATGGTTGTATTTTTTTTTTTTTAATGCTTAAGTTTCTGTCAAACAATCTTGTCTCAAATTTATTTCAGTGCAGATAGTTCATGTCATGGATTATTTACTTTTAAACATTTACCATTCTGGTTGGAAAAGTTATAAGTATCTGAGCTGGACTTCCTGCTGGTTTGATCCCACTCATTGAAACCATTGTTATAAATTTTTTTACCTGAGCTTTCTGTAACAGCAGTTCTAGGCCAGTGAGAAACTTGATCACTGGGTTTGTCACAGAGAAGGTCAAGATTCTGTCCATGATCTGGTTCAACTGTAAAACAGATGGGGAACATGTGAAATAAGTCAGACCACAGAGCTTAAATTTTTTTATTTAACCATTATTTTGCCTTTACATTAAAATGAAAAAGGCAATGAAGAGGTAAAAAAAAATAGTTTCATGAGATTAAAGCCAGTGTTTTCCCACAAATTTGTATTACTTAAATAATAGAGTTCTCTGGGCTTTTTATGTTTGCTTTTATAATAAAAACTAATGATCAGCTCCCTCACTACAACAGATATAATGTTAATACCAGTTTCAGGGTGGGGTGGTCGGGCCATTCCTGCTGCAACTCTTCAACTCGTTTCTTCAAACTGTCCAACACAGGCTTGCATTTGATCACTTCAGGTACGTTGGCATCATAATAAATGTTGTATGACTTGGTACACTTTTTGCTCCTGGCCACCTGTTGACAAAACATTGAATTTATGCATGAATTTATCACAATTACAAGCAAAAACACTTTAAAACATGAGCAAGTGTAAAGGACGAGCACATTAACTTATGAAATTAAACGTATCAACAGTGAAAAAAATATTGTTCAATAATTTCTGACTTGATGATTTTTTTCTCTCAAGCAATGTACTTGATAGGATGTGGTATAATGACCATACAGTTTTAATTCAAACTGAAGTAACCAACAGATACGGTAAACCCCAGGGCAGTGTCCTGACACTCATAACTTACCTGTTCAATGGCAGTTGAGTTAGGGGCATCTAAGTACTGCAGGACTGAACCACCGATGACCAGATGAGAGCCTGTTATGCTTTGATCAACCTCAGGACCTGATGAGGACAGATAGTTTTCTTCATAACAGAATAATAAAAGCATAAATTTTAATGGACTTAGCGTTTTTCAGCATTCACGAACTTTCTTTATTTAACTTTGACCACTTATGTCCCATTCACACATAAAAAGCATCAGTGGATCACTTACATAACACACCGAATGTTGTCTTCACAACGTCTGCACCAATCTGGTATGACATCAGTGACGAGGTCAGTATATCTGTCACAGCTGCGGGATCAGGAACAGGTTTGTCCAGCCAGTCGGCCTGAGACAGACTTGTCAGTATGTCGTTATGGATGGCACACACTTGCACCATCTCCACATTAGAGATGCCCTCCAGGGTTACTCTGCTTGGCTCCTCTGTCTTGGGCCCCCCTGCTTCAAGTCCAATGTCCTCAAGTTTGTCTGCTCCAGTTACATCGATGAAGTCCTAAATAGAGAATTAACAGCTCAGGTTAATAATTAACCATATAGCTTCATTTGTCTAGCTTAGAATTTAAATTTATCAAATCCTAATAAGTTACTAGGAAAATGATCCATTTATGAAGCTATAAATGAGATATGCCAGTATTCAAACTAATGTGTCCTTGCTAAAAATCCTGCAAAAGTTTAAATCAAGCTCATTTATTTATTTTGAACATGTGGCTAATTGCTTAAAATTCAATAAATCAACTTTTGTTTCCAGTATAAATCATAAATGAGTTTTGAACAAGACCATCCCTGACCAGAGTTGAAAAACTGTCCTGAGATTGCTTTACTTCAAAACTAGATGAAAAACCAAACTTGGATTCAATCCTTTCATTAAACAATCAATTCCCATTTTCAAATATTCAAACCACAAAGAACAATTTTTGTTTTTTATTTGAATCTCACCGTTTCAAAAGAAGGGTATGAAGCTTTGAAATCAGCCTCCTCTCTTTCTTTCTCTGATCTCTCATCTCCATGGACCTGGTCCTTGTATTTGTAATATGTTGCCTCCTCAGCTTCCTTGAGCCTCTTCCTCTCCTCCTGTTCAAGCCAGGCTGTGGTGAACTGGTCCAGGACACGAGACAGCACGCCGATCATATCCTGGTCCATTTGGCCTGATGTTAAACTGTGAGCTTTCAGGAGGATCAAGGCACACAAAAGGAGCCTGTTATAAGAAACAGATGAAACCATCATGACTGAGGTGGTAGCATCATGGGACATATGGATGTGACATAAATTGTGAATGGTAAGAAGTGATAAGAAGAAAAAGGCATTTGGGGTATGCAAAAAAAAAAAAAGGATTCAAGGAATCAATGCTGGGATAGGGAACATGTTATATATATTCAACTCTTTGTACCAATAGACCAGTTAGGTTACATTATTTTCATTGCAACTGATCAAACATATTCATGGCATAAGGTTTGACAGAAATTTTCCTACCTTGCCTTCACTTCAACAAGAAAAACTTATATTTGACTTGAGTTCAAATGATAAAAATTGTTTTTTACCGTTATTAAAAATAATTAAATCAAAGATTCTCGACATTGCTGAAAGAACTGACTGGCAAGACACAACAAATATAAAATGTATCTACCTTGATTTGACAGTGTGATCGTTGCTTTCTTTGTCCTCCTTACAACTGTCTATTGTTGAAATGATATCAGTGGACAACTGGTTGGCCAGGCTCAAGAGATCAGGTGCAGGAGAGGCGATGGTTGGGAAGGAACAAAGCCTTTGAACTAAACTAGTCATTTTCTGAGTGGATCCAAACTGTCATTAAATATAAAAGTCAAATGGTAATTAAATGTCGCCTATTAACTATCTAGTTTAATGCCTTTTTTTGAAAATATGATATTTTTCATTGTCTATATTAACGACATTCCAAAAAGGTCATTTTTAACTTTAATGCATCTGAATATTTTTAAAGCTTTATAAAATTTTGAAAATTTGTCACAGACAAATGACAAATTAGTAGTTACACTTTTTTCTCAGGATTAACCGAAATAAATCTATCAATCAATTATTGAAAATGAAATAAAGAATCTGAATGGTAAATCAAGTATAAAAATTATGTTACCTTGTTAGCCTTTAGGACTAAGTCAACATGTTGAGCCATTAGGCGCATGCCAAACTTGATCTGTAAACAAATAATTTTAAATTACTTCTTAATGCCATTAATTAAGCGATACATTATATTTAATTTTATTTAGATACTACAGATGATTGTTGCAGACTTACGCTCAAATTTGGAACTGAGTTGCTGCCATTGACTCACTTTATGAACAGATTGCTAGCATTAACTCACTTTATGAACAGATTGCTAGCATTGACTCACTTTATGAACAGATTGCTAGCACTGACTCACTTTATGAATAGATTGCTAGCATTGACTCACTTTATGAACAGAGGCAACAAAAGGCAGCACGATATCCCTGTAACACTCAAAGGTCTGCTGGACTTGCTTGAGAAAACGGGATGTGGTATCTTGCCATACTCTTTCTTCTTGCAGACTTGTTACCAGAGTGGCTTCCCCTTGCAAAGTCCTAGGATTTGATGTCAACTTCAACTTGGTAACCAAATCAAGAACTCTACTAGTAGAGCAGGTGTTGTCCATAAAATTGCTGATGGCTTGAGAAAGTTGGTTGTACTGGAAGATGGAAACAAATTGTTTTTTTTAAAAAGAATGTAGCAAGAGAAATAATACAAATTCCAACAAAAACAACCAAAAAAAAGTTATAAAAAAATGAAAATGCAATATAATAATTAGTAAAGGAATACTTATATAATCAACTCCAACCCTTCCATAATAATATATTTAATAGTTCTTGAAATTTTTCTAATGAAAATCTAAAATTTAATGTTCTTTACTCACCTGTACTTGATCAGGCCTATAAGCGCTGCACTTCTCCAAGTTTGATATCATGTCTTTCAAAACCTGACGTCTCTGTAAGAGTGCTGTTACCCTGGGATGCAGATGCTCTGCTGGTGTTTCAGACAACTTCCTTCCAGTGGTCATGTCCAGGTACATACTCCAGGTATCCAGTTCAGTATCTACCTCAGCAGCCTGCAGAGGTAAGACCAGCATGGCGTGTAGAGTTATGATTTTTAATTATTTGTTGACAAAGTTTGAATGAGCAGTTTCAAGCTGTAACAGCAATAAACACTATTTTTTTTTAAAAACTATTGATTCATTTAAATGTACATTGTTTTTTGTTTTTTTAAACAAAAAAGTTTAGTTGGAAATTTATTTCAAAGTTCAAAATTAATAAAGCTAATATTTAGCCCATTTTAATCAAAGCTATTTTGTTTTTAAATATTAAAAGAACAAGGTGCTTGGTCCACTTGCTGTACCTTACTGCATTGACTTTGAAGGCTCTGTTTGATCTATAAGACATTAAAAAAGCTAGCTTACCTCTTTGACAAAATGTCTCTGCTTGAGTCCGGCCTTCTCTACTGGATCCACTGGTCCTTTTGGTGACAGGAGATGAGCCAAAACTAAGCCAACAGAGACTAGGCCGTGACCCACAGCAGGCACCATGAGGTCAGAGTCATTTGCGTCTAAAGCTTCCTTCAAAAGTTTAAAGCAACTGGACACCTCTTCTGCAATCTGCCTGGTCAAAACAAAGGACCTTGTCTCAAAGACATTTTGGAGTTCTTTCAAGGCTGCAATGTTATCCCCACATGAAGATTGTAAGTTTGCTAAGGCAGCGTTCCATGATGTCTCCTCCTCAGAAAGCAACAAGGGATGAAGAGCTTCCATGAGTTTCTTGAATGCCTGGATAAGGAATAGCTTCTCCAAGTACCTGATGTTATTAAATATCAACAGTTTTTTTAGAAGCATTTTCATTCTAAAAGATGTGGTAAAAGAAATGGATTCCCAGATACAACATTCAAATTTTTGCCTAGATTAATTTTTTTAAGTTCATATTTTTATAAATATTCATTTAATTTCATCATCAATTCTTTAAACTTGAATTAATCTGTAATACTTCCAATATATTTATGTGCAGGATGAAAAAGTGGTGATTAGGATGTAGTGAAGAAAAACTATAATACAATAATCTATGCGGTAACAATGGTCATGCTCCATAAAATAGCTAGGCAGATAGCAAAGTCAAATATTTTCAGGGCAAGAAAGACATAATTTTTACCTGATATCAAAACGGGGACTGGATAGAGTGGCACTGTGACACCAAAGGTGCCTGGACATGAGATTGACCTGCTGCGTCTGTTCCTCCAGTCTTCCCAATGAGATGTGTAGTGGCACAAGTGAAATGGATGCCGAGGTTGAGTTGCTTGTTAAGAGATGCATGGCGAATCTGGACACTGGGGCTCTGTGAAACATTGCCGGGCCCTAATTTGTCGAGAAGAAGAAAGAGGTTAAAAAGTTGTCAATATTTTGTATTTAAGGTCATCAGTCTTTTGATAATTCTCTATTTACCCATGAAGACTAATTTTTTTCCAACTTGAATTCAATGTTTAATTCCTATTCTGATATTTATCTATGCCGACTAATGTTAGGGGAAGAGCCAAGAGAGTCGCCTGATTAAGCCCTCAGGAGCTCTAAGCTTTGGCTATGACTGTTATGATCAGACAATCTCTGGTGTGACCTTGATTTTTCTTTGACAAGTTTTTATGCCACTTATATTTATAATTCTTACATCAGAAGTGTGTTAAGCACTTTCCATTGACCCCTCATTGGAGCATTCAAAGTGTTACTGCTTTGGCCCCTTAAATATCCCTATAAAATATTTCTCAAGATTGGTTTATAAGTTTTGCCTTAATACAGTTTAATATAAAATTAAATGTTACTTATTAAATAATATACATCCTACATTACATCTATAATCAGCTTATTCAATATTCAAAGTAACTACTGTTCCTTACCAAGTTATCTTCCCTGCTGGACCCATCTTCCCCAGGCAGGGGCCAGTCGAGCCAAAACTGATAGTTGCGACATGTTCGAGAGTCCCACAGTTGATTTAGAAGATGCTGAAAGTTACACAAAGAATACATTTCAGACCACTTTTGGGGGAGATTTTTTAAATCTTTAAAATGCTTTAAAGAGGAAGGCACTAGCAGCTTTTTGAAGCAGTCGTCTTGTTTGACTGAGTATATTATGATATATATATGAAGTGATTAGTACAATCTAACTGTAAATATATGACATCAGGTCTTTAACACCGATCTAGTTTATTGAATAACTTACATTACTTCTAAACTATTGTGTTAAAAAGTTAATATTCTGTCAATCGCTTACATTTTGATATTTACTTGCACTGCTCACATCAAACAAGTCAGGGGAATGGGATAAGACAAAGTCTTTGCACACTTCCAGTTCTGTGCTCATGTGTTCCACAATGTCCTGCCTTAGTGTTGGCATCAAATGTCTCACCAGCAAGGACAATTGACTGAGCAGTGCCATGTGCTCGAACATGGGCCACAGTGACACCAGTTTGGAGGGTGACATCTTCCCCACAGCACCATGGAGTAATGCCAGCTTCTCAGAATCTGATCCTGCACATCCCCCATCACCTGACTTGCCAGTGGCACTCTTGTTTGATTTCATGAGTCCAGATTGAGCAAGGACTGATGTCAATGTTTGTAGAGCTGTAAATGTAATGTAATATAAGTGAATGTAATGTAATATAAGTAGCTTGAAGAATTTTTCTATTCAGAAATGTCCACTCCCTGAAATGGAAGCATACTGCAAGCTTATCTACTAAAAATCCTGGTTTTAAATGAGTTCTTAGCTATAAGTAAGCTTAATGAAAGGTCTGTGGATCTTATCTAGTTAGGATAATTTTTTGTTACTTTAACAAAGTTTTCCAGTAAATAACTGAGTCAACATGTTTGTTTGTCATTAAATTACCTTCTTCAAGATGTTCTATTTTTCCCTGCTCAATAGTGACTGTTACTTCCCAAATGTGTCCAGACAATGAAGTCCCAGCCAGTAGCTTCACTTTAGTTGACAAGGTCTCCATGGAGTCTTGTGGATTCACACTCACGGCAGCCTTAAGCTCTGACAGTTTGACGGCCAACTCTGCTTCTCTCTGGCTGACGTAGGATCTCGGGTGGCCATAGGAGTGCCAGAACTTTGTGAAGAGTTTTAAGGAAGTATCACTGCCTCCGAGGAATCGTCTCAGTTCTTCAACCACCATGGTGAGTTTGGGACTGTCACTGTCATATCACATGTTATATCCTAGTTAGTGCATTTAGTTTAGGCATTGAGTATACATAGAGCAGAAATAGTTAAAACTTTTACCACATGGTAATAATACATAGGGTTAAGTTAGGTAGACTCTGAAATGACAAGATGAAAGTTCACAAATTTGCACTTGCCTTAGGAGACCATCAAATAGGAATCCCAGCTTGTCCACTACCCAGTGCCAATGAAGTGTTAGGTGAGCGGAGAAGACATCTTTGTGCATGGCCTGTCCTGATGCAGCTATGTCTGCTAGTCTGTGTAACCACAGCAACTGGTGAGGTTCCTGGGGAACATTCATTATGACAGTTATGAGGGGTAATTAATTCAGGGCAAAAAACACCCACAACTTGTCAGTTCTCACACATAATGAGATATTTTAGCATCTAATCATCTCTCATCATCCCAGTTACTTTAGTCTATGTTCAGTGCTAAATCAAGGTGCATTTAATGTAATTTAAAGCACTATGGTTGACGGTGAAATTAATTTACAATTATAGCCAATATTCTACAACTTGACAGCACTTTAGTATAATTTTCGTTTCATTTATCAGCACAGATATACCTTCTTGCTGTTTAATTATGCTATTCCTATCCCATGAAAAGTTACCTGCACCACAAAAAGGGTAAACACTATAAAAATATCTCATAGTAAGCAACAAGACTTCCATATATTATATAACTTGTCCACACACCTTGTAGAGATCTATAAAGTTACTGTCGCTCAATGTCAACACAATCTCTGGAAGAAGCTCAGCTGTGTGTGACAGAAACAGGGAGACCATGCTTAGAGCCAGGTGAGCTGTCTTCTTTCTACCTAAAAAAAAGGGGAAAAAAATCAATTGTTATTAAGAAATGTTCATTTTTTAAATTTTAATTTAAACTTTAAATACTTCATGAGAGTGATTAAAAACAACTAAATGACGAAGAAAAAATAGTTTGACATTTTAGCTAATGGCTTTCAGCGAACAGAACAAAACTATGTGTCAAATGCAGGATTCTCTCAAAAACATGTAATTTAAATATTATATCTATATGTACTTGAGATTGATGAGCTCTGCATCGCCTCATAACCATTGGGATATTTAGAACCGATGGGGGGGGAGGGGGGCGCAGTTTTTTATATAAATTTGTAAATGTGCAGATGTTCTCTGAACTGGTCAACGCTATGTGCCCCCCCCCCCGAACACTTAAACTGATAAAGAGATTTATCCCCTCTACATGTTAGGGTTTCTGTATTTTAAGAGACACTGAGGCAATGTTATATCAAGGTATACTTCAACAAAATAATGGGGGGGGGGGGGGGGGCAGGTTTTTATATAAATTTGTAAATGTGCAGATTTTCTCTGAACTGGTCAACGCTATTTGCCCCCCCCCCCCCCGAACACTTAAACTGATAAAGAGATTTATCCCCTCTACATGTTAGGGTTTCTGTATTTTAAGAGACACTGAGGCAATGTTATATCAAGGTATACTTCAACAAAATAATGACGTGATGTATTGAGACGGTTTCAGATGCTGCTTTTATTGTCAATGTGCGCCTTCTAACAGCTTGGGTGGGGGGGGGGGTGACTTCTAATTAAATCATCTCTTAAATTATTCTCGCTTATGTCAGCCGGGGTGGGCAAACTTTGTGTGCGTAGGGCGACATTGACAAATGAAAAGCTATCGGAGGGTCGCATATATATTTTGCCATATTAGCATTATATTACAAAGGTCAAGGACTTTTTAAAAAAATTGAAAAGAAATTTTATTTTAAAAAAAATGTTTTAACAATCCTAGATCTAACGGTACATGAAATTCTATAAAATTCAACAAGATAACTTAAAAACAAATTAATTCTTTTAAATTTCTAAATGTCCTCGGGTCCGCATAACATCAGTTGCGGGGCCGCATGTGGCCCGCGGGCCGTAGTTTGCCCACCCCTGATGAAAGCAATCATATATTTTTTCCTTGTGGGGTGGGGAATGTATAGGGCCAACGAACGATGAACATTTGTTTGAGTTTATTTGGCCACACTCAGTTTCTACTGATTTACCTTAATCTGCGGTTTTTTTTTAAAATAAGATTTGCGTTCTGTGAAAATATTCAACCGCGCATTAACAAATCTCTCTTTCAGCAGCGCTCCCGAAATTTGAAGCGTAAAAATCCATGAGGAAATACACCCTGACCCTACAAATGTGTCCGTCCCGTTCTCTCCGTGCTCGTCGTTACGTGTCAGCACTAATAACAGGGAACATGCAAGAGGAAGTCCCAGAATGTCACATGCCAGATTCCACTCTATCTTAAAACATCATTTGTCCTCCCGGCGAGCGCCCCACTCACTCGCCACCACCACCACCACCACTCTAAGCCCAATCTGTCCTATCCCAAATTTTTATTTTAAGAGAAAAGGCAATCCCTCGCAAGCCGTGAACGAGACAAACTTGGGATGGCTCAAACGCAACACACTGGCTCGGTGTCATTCTTTGAACACTTACTCTTTTGGACTTTTCGGCTCGTTTGGTTGGCTTTTATTGGGCTTATTTATTTATGTCCTTACTTCGTTATTGGGCACAGCGATTTCACTCCGGTATTCCCAGAGGGTTGCTATGAACGTGTACAAAGATTTCACCGTACCAATTATTTGATGGCACGTTTTTGAGACCATCAAACAAACACACACCATCAATCGACGCTCGTGTCATGTCTAGTATGGCAATAATGAGCTGTAAAACCTTTCTCCCAGTCAAGTCACCTTATTCGTTGTTGTGTCATTTAAATAAATACACTGTGTCCGGATAAAAAGGGGAACCCTTTTGATAATGATGAAAAATCCAAGAAAATACACAGTATTTTTTAAAAATCCAACCCACTTTACTCCCGAAATATTGAACGGTCCATGATAAAATTTAACAATATGTTAAATGAAATATATATATCTATCGCATGTAATTGCTTCTACGTCATCTCGCACTAAATGGAACACTTTTGATTGGGAAAAAGGTGCCGTACTCACATCTTGTTAAGCCATAATGACGTCACGATTTTGTGACTTTCTTTTGTCAGGGTGTCTAAATAAACTGCGTGGCCAATTAGTTACTATATGGAGGGGGGGGGGACCTAAAAATTGGTCAAAATAACATGACGTCATTTACGGATGACCCCATTATGTAAAATAATTAAAAAATACTAATTAATAATAGCTCCAGCAGGACAGCTGGTTGAGAAGTTGTTTTTTTTTCCATTACACCCAAAGATTAAAAAAATAATGAAATAATTTACCACTCCACGCAGTGGCGTATCTATATTATAGGGGTATCGTAGCCTTTTGCGCCCCCCCCCCCAATCTATACCACGAAAAACTCGGCAGATGACCGAAAATGCTGCCCCTCAATATATGGGGAAATGTGCCTACCGGGTCGGATCGCACCCCTTCCTAAACAAATATGACATGACCGGCCGAGTAGTACCATGACTATATCGTATATTTATTGTGCATCGCACTCAACAGAACAAGAGGCCCGCATGCACCGTTGACAAGTTTTTCCTCCAATCTGCTACTCTTAACAGTGCGATTCAAGTGCACGTGGACAAAACATAACATTTTCAAAGGTTACTTTGCTTCATCAGATCGGTTTTACTTAATATTGATTAAATGTAAGACCCGTCTGAGTAAAAGAAATCCGGTAAGAAGATTGTGTGCCCGTCTTCGGGACACGCTTACATAATTGTACTAAGAGTCATGTGATTGAACTGTACTCCTTGTAATCCTACACGTTCAGTAACACTTTTACAAATGAGCTGCGCTCCATGCAGGATATAACCAACCAACACCACTATCAATGCACTTGTAATTCTGACGATACTCATCGAATCTTCAAATTCTTTCCTAAGTGATTCTATTCCATTCTCCCCCCTTTCCTTTCCAAATCAATTGGAAAGATATACGTGCCCCGATACTGCCCTGGTGCCCCAATGATGCCGCGGTCCGACAGGATTTATGATCTCTAATTGGCTGGGGTCAAGTTATCGGCGGGAGCACCCGTCCAGATCGCGAGCAATATCCTGATTTGTGATGCCATTTAATCACGGCAAGCGGGGCGCTGGTTTTAACTGGAATGGGTAAAGCACTCAGTCACTCGGACGCCAAACAGACGAAATGCATTTAGCCCTCGGTGAGCCCATCTACTGTACAGGACGAATCTTTGAGTGAAGACCACACCCAAACAAGAACCGGGGAGAGAACATTGAATACACTGAAGCGTGCTGGGCCCTTTGCAGTTTTAGATAAGTACGATAATGAGTGACCATTATTTAAAGGAAGCAAAGCTACAAAAGTCATACAGCTCCTACTTTGAGGACATTTACTTTGTGACGACGCTCACATGAATTGGAAAAGTAACAATGAAGCTAATATCAAACGTACTTCAAAGATAGCATCGCTCTGAAATATCTTCAACTTAAAAAAAAAAAAAAACATTTAAGCGCAATACTGTTTAATGGTGATATAACTATAACGAGTCTTTATCTTATTCAGAAGAGTGTCATTGTTTTCCCCAAATAAACTGTTCGGGCAATTTTAAGTGCAGCTGGTGCAAATAATTATAATAAAAGAATTTTGTAAATTATTTTCAACTCGGCAAGACTCATAGGTTCCAATGTACAGACCCGAGGGGGGGGGGGTTGTCAGCGACGAGACACGGGTCTGACAAATGAAGCCTCTGTCCTAGCTCTGTTTGAACACACAGAGGCGATGTATCGGGATAAATGGACGGTGGGCGGGCAGATCGATGCTACCGGATCTAGCAGACCCTCTCAAGCAACAATGCAAATATCACTGACTTTAAAAGGAAGTGCTGAGTGCCAGCAAGATAAATGAGGCCTAGGGTGGGACTTTTCGACCCCTCTTTCATCTTATTATTGAATTTCGCCATAAGTATGCACGTGTTGGATGAAAGAAGAAAAAAAAACGGTTTAGTTGATGTTACCACAAAAAAAAATTGATTATAAAACCAAGAAATTACATTCTGGAACAGACGAGACGAGGGAAGGGAACAAAAAAAGTAAGGTTAAAAAACTATAAACCCAGTCTCATCCCTAGTAATATCTAGGTCAATGAAGGGAATTTGGAAAAAATGGTCTCCATCAGCCCGATTCTATCCCCAAGCCGGAGTCTACAAATTTCATTACGGTGTACTTTTGGTGGGAAATGGCGCATGGAACTTTTAAATGAGGCTACTCAATATATGCAAAAGAGAAACAGCTTGAAAATGCCGTTTACACGAGGACTACTGAATATATACAAAAGACAAACCATAAGATTGAAATGGTGGTTTATAAGAGGACTGCTGAATATTTACAAAAGACAAAGCATAAGATTGAAATGGTGGTTTATAAGAGGACTGCTGAATATTTACAAAAGACAAAGCATAAGATTGAAATGGTGGTTTATAAGAGGACTACTGAATATATATACAAAAGACAAAGCATAAGATTGAAATGGTGGTTTATAAGAGGACTACTGAATATTTACAAAAGACAAAACCATCAGATTGAAATTGCCGTTTACATGAGGACTACTGAATATATATATATATATATAAGACAAAAAGTCACCATCGAATGGTAGTAAATATGCCAAATATGCCACAGAAGTGTACACAGCAATCCCCTGCAATAAATTCATTTGAAATCTTATTTTGTGGACATTTTCGTGCAAGTGTCAAGCACATGTAATAGCGACAATTTAGTCAGATGTCTAATGACGAGTCTAAGGTTTCAGAGATATGTTTGCCTCTTAAACCGGGTACTCAATCGGAGAGTCAGACCTCAAATTAATGACAGGTTTCAGTTTCCTAAATTGAAATAATGTTCATTTTGCTTTATCAAGTGAAATCAATAAGAAAATAAATGGTAAATCTTACACAATACTATACTGTTCTCGTTCTATTCTTCTTTACAATACTATACTGTTCTCGTTCTATTCTTCTTTCTGTCTATTTACCCATTCGAAAGCTTCGTTCCTCCGCAGACACGCGTATTCTTTCTGTTCCAAAAAACACGCACTAAAAGATACGGTGAACGATCTTTCTCTTTATGTGCCCCCAAAACAGTGGGAATTCTCTACCATTACACATCCGCAATATACCGCCCCATCCCAGCCTTCAAAACTGCCCCCAAGACCCATCAAAATACCGATTCATCCTCGCCCCTCTCTAACTGATTAACAACGCTCGATACTTATGAGTGCTGTCCATGGCTGGACATGGGTAGATAGTAGTTGGGTGGGTGAGGTCCAGCTTTTTACCAATTGTTGTTTTTAAATGTACATTATCGAGTAACCCGGTCCTGTCTGGCAGAGTTGTATGGTACAAACCAGTAGAAATCACAGAGTCAAGTTAACACCCCCGAGGTCTAAAAGGCAAGCATTTTGGGGATCTCGTGTAACAGTAATCTATCACAGCCAAGCACTCAGGTTCCCGGTGACAATGACAGCGGAAAGAATTGGATTTTCCACCATGACAAACTAGAATCGACCCCTCAATCAGGACGGCTCTAAATGCCCAACCGGCTTCGGGAAATCGGCATAAAGTCAATTACTCCGGCATAGACACCAAACAAATTGATCTAAATTGGCCCGATGAGACAGGGCGCTATCTGTCGGGGAAAAAACGAGAGTCTCCGAGAAGGTGGTGATTGAGTTTAAACGATTTTAGGACAATGTCCAGTCTGTGAACACGGGCCGAGAAAATGGGAAGGACATGACTATGTATCTTGTGCGGGAGGCGAGAATTTAGTATAAGGTGGACTTCACTGCTGGTCTTAAAGTACAAGTAATAACTTCAGAGGACATAACGGTAAGCCATAACATCCATACAACTAGCGACTGCCAAGACTCTCGCTGGTATGGTTTCAAAAAGAGATTTTCATACGCTTTAATCTGATATGATTATTAAAAAAAAAGAACATGTATTTTAGAAATGTCAATAGCAGCGGCAAAGGATTATTAATTGTCAATAATCGTCAATAGTTTGACAATGTTTCTAAAATGTAGTTGATGCGAGATGAGGTATAACAGAGAAGGGTTGACTCGTATGTAACGGTTCCGCACCGAGCAATCAAATGGGTCTAGGTGTTTAATATGAATGGACATTTCTCTTTTCTTTTACAGAATAAGTGAACGTATATACATATATATATATATTACAATCACCTTATCGCAACTATCAATAAACGGGCAGCAGGCTTTAAATATAAAGCTCAGCAGCAATCCAATCATAAAAGCTCACAGCTGGGCACTTTAGGCCCATAATAAATACTCGCCATGGGAACTATCTGTATCAATGAATTAATAAAACATATCTCAACAGAAGGGACCTCAAACCTCAGGGGGTACACGTATCGAATATGTGATGACAGGCTGCAGGACAAAATATGTATATATTTCTATTTTAAACAATAATGAATTGTAATTTTAACCCAAATACCCATTCCCCCGACACCACCCCCTCCCCACCAAAACAAATGAAGTAAATACAATAACCAACATCTGCATTTCATATTCATTAGCTAGGCTACAAATATTTTGCCAGTAAAAAATAAGCATGCGTATTTATCAAGTCCTAAATTGGCTAAATTTACTTTTGACCTATTCCAGTCACCGGGCTCATTACCTTGTTTATTTACTGTATAAAAGCCGAATTTTCTAGAACAGTATACATGCTGTAAATCATTTGATTTTCAAATATAATTGAAATGTCTCAATACTCATTTCACTTGGATATACCATGCGCGTCTTTCATCGGCTACTGCCATCTTTTACCGTAACGTAACCGTCGTACAGTGGTAAGGTTGACCATCTCCCCCTTGTATTGTGTCATTTAAACGCTTAAAGGAACGAAGTTATAGCTATGCCTGCAATCTTCATCACCCCCGTACGATCGCTTAAAATTCTTTGGACTAAACAATAAATGACATCTGCTGAGGGAGGGTGCATTTTTTTTTGGGCCTCCTACTTTACTCCCTATATCAGGCACTAAACTTGGTAAATTTTGGTGATGTCGTGATGAGGCAGCAGATTAAAAGCGGCACACCACATCGGAGGCAATTTTCACCTGAGCACACCACTTTCCACCACTTCATTTTATGCACAACATCTACCAAAAGTCAACGCGTGTAAAACTGAGGCAGGGATGTTTTTACGTCGCATTGCCTTATGTTGCTGCATTTCAGAAACAATAACTGTACACGCTCACCCCGCTTGAGAACCGTTGACCCAACCCCCACAAGCACGCGACAGTTGAAAGAAGCTTCCAATTTCGTAATGGCTTCGGGCGTCTTCGGGTCTGATCAAGTGTATTAGGCCAAAAGTCTATTGCCGTCATAAACTGGCACCTCTTCCACCTCCGCGTCAAGGAATAAATCCTCACCCAAGCGGGATTGGGGGGGGGGGGGGGACGAGATCGTAAGGGGGGGAAAAATTCAAAACAATGTTATTTTTGTTACCTTAATTTGTTTCTCCCCTCATATGCACAAATACGTGGGGGAGAAAGGGAAAAACAATGTAGAGATGCCAAAGTGGGCGTCTTCGGGTCTGATCAAGTGTATTAGGCCAAAAGTCTATTGCCGTCATAAACGGGCCCCTCTTCCCCCCCCGCGTCAAGGAATAAATCCTCACCCAAGGGGGATTGGGGGGGGGGGGGTGACGAGATCGTAAGGAGGGGAAAAATTCAAATCAATGTTATTTGTGTGACCTTAATCTGTTTCTCCCCTCAGATGCACAAATAGCTGGGGGAGAAAGGAGAAAACAATGTAGAGATGCCAAAGATGTTGAAAGAATTGACTCTCCCTGCAGTGCTGGCCTTAAGCTTTGGCAAGAAAGAAAAACGAATTTTAAACAAAAACCAGGGAGATAATATCGACCCATAAATGTTTCCTATTGGAGTTTTCTATTTTAAAAAAACAACAAAAAAAAAAAACGAAATATTTAAACATAAAATAACATAATGAAACTTAAGATCGATAAAATGAGTTTTTTTTTTTTTTTTTAAAGCTGGTTATGTCTTGGGAAGTAATAACGGTACGGTTTAGGAGAGAAATTAACGCTAATACTCTTATATTCCATTAATGTTCGCTCTCAGGAGCGGAACTACTTGATCGAAGTCACTAATAGCCTAAGAGTTTGTTGTTTTTCGCCTTTGTTTTCTATATACATATACTGTCGCATCTGCTGTTTTCTAAAAGCTACATATAAAAGATGCATACACACACACACACACACATATGTATATATATATATATATATATATATATATATATAATGTGCATAAATAGATTAGGTAAAACAGCATAAAGATTTTATGTCAAGAGGAATGTATCGCGTTCAACACAGTTTCACACTAGTGATTAAAACAGCATTCAGGTATGTTTAACAAACTGTATATTATCGCGGCCATGGAAGCATTCAAGACGCTGAAGAACGAATCTACTAAGTTTAGATTGGGTTGGGGGGGGGGGAAGAAAAACAAAAACAATGAATCAGTGAAGCGGGAGTAAAAAAAAAATTTGGGGTGGGGGGGGAGGGGGCGGAGGGCATCGCGTGTGTATATACAAAAAAAAAAGCAAAAAAAAAAAAGTGTCGAATCCGTTTCCACGACTTGAATAAAGATACTGCCTGGTTTAACAAAGTAAACAAGAAAAGAGCCAGTTATCCGAATGCCTTGAGGCATGAGCCGGGCATGCGCCGAGCGGTGTATTTGTATCTCTAAGCAGCCTTTCTAAGACCTGTCGGTTAGGGCAGTAGGACCAGTTCCCTGAAGGATAAACGCTTTAATCGGTCGTATATTTCATTACGCAAACACTCTTCAAGTTCTTTCATGGCAGGTGGCCAGGAGATGAAGTCAGGTAAAAACATTGAGTTGAAAAGAAAAGAAAAAAAAAAAAGGGGGGGGGGGGGGGTTTCGTAACCCACACTTTGTACAAGGCATGGATTTTTTCTCAAGTTTCTTTGGCAAGAAAATACAATATGATAATTATGGTTAGGTTTGGTGAGCTATCACAATGACCATACAGGCACAACCATCACTACACATTTTATCTTTTCTTCTTTAAAAGTCCCCTGTCCACGTTTTACCTTGAAAAATAATCTGTTGCAGAGTACAAGCACAGGGTAGTACTAAGAGTTCCTCTCATCGGACGTTCAAGTGATCTCTGAGCATTGCTAGATCACACATAAGTACGTTAAATAGATCGGAGAGTGCAGATTTATATCAAATATAACGTGCACGATGATCATCTTATGTCTTAGTTTGAGACATCTCAGCTGAATATTTTCAGTATACGAATCTAAATCAAACACGCTGGTCGAACATTTTGTTGAACTCCCCAAGCGAGAAAGTCGCCAGTTCTCCCCCCACTACAAGATATTTGGTTCCGACTGTGGGCTGGAAGAAGCGATGTCATCCCGCGAACGCACACTAGCCAAGCACTCGATAACCAATCAATGGGATGGAGGAGTCCATGTTCAAGGGGGGTTTACCTCTACCCTTGAGGCCAATCGGTGATAGTTCCACGAGGAGGTTGTTGCTGTCTTTTAGTGTTTCATAGTGTTAGCACAGCACGTAGGTATGTACCAGTCGGTCTTGTGTAGTAAATATATAATATGTGTCTTAACAATTGAGACTTTGATACCATTAAAGTCACTGCCTCTAAATTGCTGGGTTCAAAGTTGTTCAGTTCTGCTGGTTTATTATTGTAAACGTTCTGCTGATACACAGTGCAAGTTCTGCTGATATACCGTACATGTTTTAATGATACACCGTACATGTTTTAATGATATACCGTACATGTTTTAATGATTACCGTACACAATAAGAGAAGCCGCGTACACGCCCCACTGGGGTGGCGAAAAATAACACCAGAAATGAAAGTGACTCATTTCATTTTTTTTTTAAATAACCGCTCGAACTGTACAGTTACAATGCGAAAAAGAGCAATTTAATTGGAAGGTTTTCTTTAGAAAGTCCATTTATTTTCGCCATCACGGGAGGTTTATTACCCTTTGACCTTTCAACTGCCATCACCTTTCATGTTCAGGCCTGATTACAAAGAAATGAGCGCGTGCCACAAGACAGTGAGGCGTGCCACAAGACAGTGAGGCGTGCCACAAGACAGTGAGGCGTGCCACAAGACAGTGAGGCGTGCCACAAGACAGTGAGGCGTGCCACAAGACAGTGAAGCTCCCGCTACTTTGCAGGAGACTCATACTTCCGCCCTATCACCGTAGAACGTACACATTTAATTGGTGAACTGTTCCATTCTCCTTCATACAGTTATCACCGTAGAACGTACACATTTAATTAGTGAACTGTTCCATTCTCCTTCATACAGTTATCACCGTAGAACGTACACATTTAATTAGTGAACTGTTCCATTCTCCTTCATACAGTTATCACCGTAGAACGTACACATTTAATTAGTGAACTGTTCCATTCTCCTTCATACAGTTATCACCTTAGAAAGTACACCTTAAATTATCGAGCCGTCACAATCTCCCTCATACAGTGATCACCTTGTATGCTGGCGTCCGTGGATAAGAGTTGTACAGCATTTTTATATCAGAAAAATGAAGGTTTTAAATAGGCGTTTAGTCTAACAAAAATAAACAACAACGACAAAACAACAACGTTTTCCTTTATAATATGATCCTAGATAATTCCATTTTTTAAATGCCCCAGTGCCAAGAAGGAACTTTCATGAACAAATCATAAATAACTACTTGTTTATAAATGTGCCGCCCCATCTTTAAAACATTTGCACCCTCTTTACCGGAATGATGTTTACATCAAACAACCAATGGACACCGGACAGCAACTTTGTAATTCAAGGGTCGACAACGCTTGGTATTTCTGGTGCGGGTTCTCCCCCCGGGCTACCTTAATTGCAAATGATAGCATTTCAATGCAAAGCCACGGCTAGGAGGAGAGCGGCCCAAATTAGGTAAAAAAAAAAAAAAAAAAAGACAGCCAATCCCCCCCCCCCCCACTTCCCAAGAAACCAAACAAATTTAGTTGGCTTTGAGTTTCGGGTTCTGACTAGACAAAGTTCCCAACTGACAGTGTCTGGAATAGGAAGGTAATGGTCGTTTGCTTGTTTAATTCAAGAGTCAATATAGGGAGTTTCTTACTGGTATTACCGGAATTTATTATTTTAGCTCCAAAATACAGACTTCGTGATAGAGGAAATGAGAATACCTACTTTAGAATATTTTTTAGTTCTTTTTTTTATTAAATATTTTTGAAGCAGCTTTATTGAATCACTGGACTCAAAGAAACACGTACACTCATCGTCTTCCATTTATACATTTTGTCCAATTTATAAATCGCATATCATTGTCACATTGCTTCCTATCTCATAGCCTAATCTCTAATAATAATAATACAAAATAATCTCTTAGTCTTTCTGCGTCTTATTTATACATCGCACCCAAAGCTCTTACATGCCCAAGTTCTCTTACGTGCTGTATTTGGACGTGGAAATTTGTCCCCACTGGTCACGGCCTGCATGACAGCACAGAATTCTCCGATTCCTATTTTCTCCCAAAACCCAATTAAGCGTAGAGAACACGTTAATGGGATTCGTCTCTGGCGGGCCTGCTCGGATTATTCCTACAGATATTGGTTCAAATGAATGATCTGATAGAAATTTGCCGACAACTGACCCCGCACGTTGGCTGTCTGGTGGTATAAGCACTCAAACCTTTATGCCTGTATTATACCGAACTTGTCTGTAAGACTCCTCGGACAGCAAAGTCATTAAACCGGACTGTTCAGATTAGAGACGACCCTCCCCCCCCCCTGCCGTGGCTCAGGGGTGTTCAGCGAGACCGATCAGTAAGGGGCGTATTAATTACGCTGTGTTGCATAGGCTAGAGCCGTTTTAACATTTCTATTCACACAAGTCAAATTCAAATCACAAGCCCTTCCATTCAACATGTGTCAAATAAGAATTACAACAACAACAAAATGATAGTTTTAAAACATCAAAGGTGTGTCCCTCCCTCTAATCTGCCGTCTCATAAATCACTAGCCATCTCTAACATACATCTAAAGCTTCCTTCTCTAACATACATCTAAAGCTTCCTTCTCTTCCATGCCTCTAAAGATTCTTTCTCCTCCGTGTCTCTAAAGCTTCCTTCTCTAACATACATCTAAAGCTTCCTTCTCTTCCATGTCTCTAAAGCTTCCTTCTCTTCCATGTCTCTAAAGCTTCCTTCTCTTCCATGTCTATAAAGCTTCCTTCTCTTCCATGTCTCATAAGCTTCCTTCTCTAACATACATCTAAAGCTTCCTTCTCTTCCATGTCTCTAAAGCTTCCTTCTCTAACATACATCTAAAGCTTCCTTCTCTTCCATGTCTCTAAAGCTTCCTTCTCTTCCATGTCTCTAAAGCTTCCTTCTCTTCCATGTCTCTAAAGCTTCCTTCTCTTCCATGTCTCTAAAGCTTCCTTCTCTTCCATGTCTCTAAAGCTTCCTTCTCTTCCACGCCCTTAAAGCTTCCTTCTCTTCCATGTCTCTAAAGCTTCCTTCTCTTCCACGCCCTTAAAGCTTCCTTCTCTTCCATGCCTTTAAAGCTTCCTTCTCTTCCACGCCCTTAAAGCTTCCTTCTCTTCCATGCCTTTAAAGCTACCCTCTCTTCCGTGCCCCTTAAGCTTCCCTCTCTTCCATGTCTCTAAATCTTCCTAATCTACCATGCCTCTAAAGCTTCCGTCTCGTCCATCTACCTCCCTCTCTTCGATATCCCATCATATTGCCCCCCCCCCAACCAGCATCACTCCCATGCTAGCCATTCTGTCGCCCGTCTCACACTTCCTTCCCTCCCATGTTCTACATTTGTTTCATCCCGTCAAAGCCATCTAGAGAAAAAGGTGATGCTTTAACTACGCCAAACATTAAAATGTCAAAGAAACCCCAAAGGTCTTCTCGAGATTTTTTTTTAATATGTTGTTTTTAGCTTCTAGTAGTTTAAGAGAGAAGTCTAAAGAGAGAGAGTTGGGGGGGGGGGGGTATAATTCAAGGCTGGTATTCTCTGTAATAAAGGTCAGTCTAAAAATAAATGACTTTTTTTTACCAAGGTAAAATATTTCATAGTCAAAGTTTAAAACATCGCTATTCTATCTGTGACCACAATAAAAAAAAACAACAATGAGAAACACCAAACGAACCTTATCACAATAACTAACATTACAGATCATCAGCGATATTTTATGACTTTTAGTTAGATCATAGGTTCAAACTATTAGGAGTCACGATCAAATATTTTGGAGTCAAAGTGTGATCAGCACCTCCATTTATAATTAATTTATAAAACAAAAATAGACACGCGATATTGATATATTTTTTTTTTAAAATACTGTAAGCGAAAAAAAAGGTACATCGAAATTTTTTTTTTTTTAAATGTGAGTTTTATAAAAATATTTACACCATAATAAGAGTCTATTCCACCCAGCTTTTAGTCCATTGCTGGGATGACTTGTCTATTCCACCCAGCTAGTTGTGGGATGGTGAGTCTATTCCACCCAGCTTTTTGTGGGATGGAGAGTCTTTCCTAAGCGGCTGTTTCACCAGAGCTGGAATGACACGAGTCGTTTCACACGGCTGTATGCTCAAAGCCGTGATGACAAGTATTTTCCTCTTGGCTATTTGCCCTTAGGTCGAAAAGGAAAAACAAATTGTGTGTGTGTGGGGGTGGGGGGGGAGAGGTCGAGTCAGGATGATTCAAACCCCGCTCCGTCTTCTTCTTCAGGAAGACAACTTGATCATTAGACATTTTTGTTTATAAATTGTTTCGTCCCTAAATGTACCGAGTGAGTGAGACCAGATTTAAAAACGTATGAGAACCTCAGTCTGCCGGCTTAAAACTCAGGACTACTGAACACACGGTTACAGTCTAGTAGTGCCTCTTGGTACGGGAGTCTCAGATTGACTCCACGCCAGGCAGAGAGCGTTCTCCGATGAGTCCTCTGTATTTGACGATTGCCGTGTGATACAACAGACGGCAAGCTTGACAGTGACGACGTGACTTTTCAACAGAACTCCACGTCTGTCTGATGCAAGGGTACTGGGAGAGAGAGGGGGGGGGGACCTATCTTTGACGTCTGGCCACCAAAATTGGACTCATTTTAACAATGCGCCAACGTCTCCAAACGGCAACACTCCTCACGTTCCAAATACTACAAACGAGAACGTCATTAACTGGATTTGGGGGAGGGGGGGGGAGGGGTGCGATGACCCTAGCGCTAGATATTACGAGTCGGGGTTCTTACCCCTACACTTCTCAATAGACTATACACCTGCACGTTTCCACAAACTATTCCAAATAGTATTCAACGGGAAATTCAAGACTATGGGTAATGATTGAGTTCTGTGACCGACCATTGAAACCCATAATTACTACTACCAGCAAGCTTTCCAGTTTAACTCACTGTGTCATCATGCACTCGCGGGTTTTACCGGAAGACAAGACAAAACATCGACTGATGCAGACGTACAATTTGTCCCACCATAACACCCCCCCCCCCGAAAAGATTTCCTTGGGGAACAGACACGGCCAGGATAGTGACCGACAAGGAAACTAGTCCCTCTTGATTACACAGACAGTGACTGTCAACTGACCGCTGTTATCCACCGGAAGCCTCCATTCTACTGACCAGACGGCCCTATTACCGTTAAAACACAGTGCGCTTGTCATTGCCCAGACGCCCTCAGGGCAAATCAAATATTTATGGCTTCTATAGACCCCCTTATCGATCGGAGTCAACCGGGAGGAATCTATTTTCAAACTTATTTGCATTATATAATTAGACCGCGATTGGTGTATTTGAAGACAACAGTGTTGACATAGTGCTTTTTGAATGGATGGTCCGCCGATACCAGTAACTGTTGTAAATAAATTAACCCACGTGTCAAACGGGCCTCCAACAAAAAAGTGTTTGATGCAAAAAAACAAAAAACAAACAAATCCCACCAACAGCAACAAATAAAGAAACAAACAAAAAAGATATAATTTATTTGCTTGAATAGAACCCCAAGGGGCAAAATAAAAAATCAGGCATACACACAAAGAGCTAGAGTCTAACCTGGACGTCACGGACGAGTCTGGTTCTAGAAATTAATTCTTTAAATAATAAGAACTAGAATATTTTCCAAACGATACGCACTAAAACTGTTTCAGTGAGTCTGTCTGCTTGGATTGAACTATATGGCCGGGCCCATACACATTTTTTTTTCCACAGCGATCAGCGAAGGGCCGAACAAATTAGCATCTGACGGAACTTGGACAAAGTCTCTCTCTCTCTCTCTCTCTCGGCTGTCCACACATCTTATACCCGGCACTAAATTCATCAAATTCAAACCCACCCAGGTCCCCGCCGATCCTATTACCCCGACCAGGGCCACTATGCTAATCGACACGAGGGTATGTGTTGGTGCATGCATGCGGGATTTCCTAAATCTCGGGGGAAAGGGACTAAACTTCTTGGAATCGAAGATGCCAGCACGTGTTTAGAGATCAGTCAGATTGATCTGTTAGCGCCCCTGTTGGCCGGAATCGTGATGGAAACAAATGAGAAATCACCAGGCAAACACTTTCCTATTGGAGATTTCGCGCATCTAGCGGGGGGGGGGGCTGCGGTGGAGTGACGGTTCGAGGTTATGTGCTAACAGCCTATTTGACGCCTACGGTGAGATGACGTCTAAGCGGCGAGATGGTTAGCTCTAATTGGCGTGTTTTGACCCCTTGCGCCGTTTCTTTAGACACGGGCTGACTGGGAATCGTGTTACGTCTCAGAACGGCAGGCCATCGGCAGAGTGTTAACCTTTACGTCCCGAGCAGAGGTAAAGGGGTAAACGCGAGCTTTCTTCAAGACAGCTTTCAATATTTTATAATGACATGATTGGCAGTCCCCATAGACGAGTGTATGATAAATGACAAACCGTCTTCAGTTTACATTAGAGTTTGAGGAGAAATGTGTATTTCTTAATACATAATATATTGAAAATATTAAAATTCTTAAATATTTTTCATTGGTTTCCAATCTTGTCATTGACATTATTAGAGGACTAGTTGTCAAATAAGACAGACAGAGGAGGGATACGTTAAAGACACTTAGACATGTAAAGTAGTAAATGCTGTAAGGACGTTCAAAAACTGCAAGTTCTTAACATTGATCTTTACTATATGATCATCTCTTAGTATTTCTTTCCCTCTAACCGTACCAAACAGAAATATTTAGCCTTCAAAGCTTCATTATTAGATCTATTTCTCTATTTTCTTCCTTTTCGTCATATGCATATCCTTCAACAGGGAGATGTTGACATAAACCATGAGTCCTTTGTGCAATTTTTGACTGCCAAGCCTTACATACATTTATAAAAAGCTTCATATAACTAAAATATCCACACAGTCATTTGAACATTTATGTTCCATTACAGACACACGCACACCGTCATTTGAATAGTTATGCTCCATTACAGACTAATGCACACCGTCACTTTAATAGTTATGCTCCATTACAGACAAATGCACACTCTCATTTGAACCTAAGGAAAGCAATATCTCTTACATATATTACGCTTGTGGTGTGACTTCTTCCATTTCCAGAAATCGTGCAAAATATAATTTCCGATAACTGTTAAATTATTTATTTTTTTTTTAAATAATGCAAGTGCATTTGGTGTGTATTATTTTCTTTTCGGAGAATGAAATCGTCGCAATTCAAATATGGAGTAATAAATATTCGGTTTAAAAGAGGTTGGGGCATCAGAATATTAATATTGTTCATGGGCGTGAAATAAAATGTGTGCAGTGACGTATAATGGAGGGAAGGGGGTGAAGCGAAAAATTGGGATTCTTCAATGTACGCTACTTGGGCTCATGTTTTTTTAAGAAACTTTAATAGATGGGAGAAGTAGCTGTATAATCCTTCAAGGTGTTTTCATCAATGCGATTGTGCCTTACCAGCTTATAATTACAATCTTTGATAAAGGTTATAGACACCAGAATCCATTTAAAAGCCAAAGAAGAAACCATAATAAGGCAAGTGTGAGTTACGTAAAACAGCATACATCGACAAGTTGTTGCACTCTAACAGTAAACTTACTTGAAATAACTCATCATCAGTGGGGGAAAAGTCCGTTTGTCTTTTTATATTGGGTTTTAACATGTCAAGTTTCATTCAATGTGCGTTTTTTGTAAAATAGCTCAAGGGTCTTCCACGCTTCTTGGCTACAAGACCCAATAAAACTATCAAGGGGGGTAATTTGTCACGAGTCGACACAGAGTGCTGGCCCAAATGGGTTTAATGTTCGAGCAAGCATTGGAATTAAACATTTAAAAAAATGTATTTTTATAAAGAAAAGAAAATTGACAAGCAAGAGAAAGATTGGGGTAAATAAAAACGTCCAAGACATTGAATGAAGCCCGTTTAAAAAAATGTCTGCATGTAAGGTTGAGGTGTGAGTGTGTTTGGGGGGTATTGATTAAAGATAGATTCCTTACTGCATGAACGCTCTCCCCCACCCCACCCCCAACCGTTTGGTGCACGAAATAGTCGTTTTTCTTTCAATGAAATGAATGGATAACACAATCTTTACTGACTGACTAACGTTATGGCCACTGTGACAGAGATGTAAAATATAATAGAGAGCACCTCGAAATGCGCATCTCTGCCCTACGAGATTTTGTAGTTAAATGTAACTCTCATGACCAGCTAGGCATTTGACCAAAGCTGACACTGCATTCATTACTATGAATTGTTCCAACACGAACTCACCATTCCATCTCATCGCACGAAAAGGTTGGTAACCACTGCTGTTGAGTTGTGACATTATAGCCAATTGGTTAATGAAATAGCCCAAAATAGTTTCTATTCGGGGATTCACGCCCACTGCCCACTGATCCACAAAACCTTCATTTGTTCAAGAGACTTAAGTCATTTGTGCAACAAAATTATGGTAGTAGAATTATGTGATCATCATACCATAACTCACCAGCCCCAAGAAGAATTAAACCCGTTATTTGGCAGAACAAAGTGCCTCACAGATGTTTTGGAATCTGCCAAAATGTGTAGCATGTTCTCCGCTCTTAACAGGGGGCGCCTTCGCTGGTTAGGCCATGTAAGAAGAGTGAGGGAAGGCCTTATTCCTTAAGGCACGTTCACAGTGCAGATTTGTTTCTGATATCCCCCACCACGTTGAGAAGGCTATTGTGTAGACTGTTACAAGAGTGTAGCGAAGACCGCTACACATCTGCAGTGCGAAGGCTCTTAGGAATCTGCTGTAGGGAAAGTTGGCAGAGGGACACTACTTATTGGACGGCTGCGGCAAAGGGAACACCAGGGAAGCCAACATTGAAAGCGAATGGGAGATCCTCGCTGACCATTCTGGGAACAGCAGTATATGAGAGGGTCAAACATGTATATATATATATATATATATATANTATATATATATATATATATATACACCACACATATATTATAAACTCACATACACATATGACATCAATGTATTCAAAGTGTTGGACAATATTTTAGTTCAGTGCATGAGTGTATAGGTAGACATGACCCTTAACACAACAACATTATGCATAAGAAATTGGCCAATAAGATACATGGCAGGAGTTTCAAGTACGAAAAAATATCCCCCCTCCCCCAAAAAACAACAACAACAACAAAGTGACAGGTGTGGGTGATGGATTGCTATTTTCGAATGTATGGCCGAGTTATTGGCGAGGTCAGACGGGCCACGGTGTGAGGTTAACGCATTCATAGCCAAAGACATATTAGATAATAATCTAGGCAGGAAACCAGGGATGAAACTGAAGGCCAGCTGTGAAGCGTGCAAGGACTCCAGGGACGGAGATCAATATATTTCCCACCGCGAGGTAATAACCAGGTCGCTAATGAGAAACCTTCCCAACACGAGCCGGGCGATTATCATCTTAAATGCACCATGTGATTGAGCAATTAGGGGAATTGGATTCCAGTAATTGGGGATAATGCGTCCCAGTCAGACACACGCGGGGCGCACGTCAGTACACGCGACTGTCAATACAAGACTTGAGTCTTGTGAGACACCTCTAAATACACTAACGATGCTTTTGTAAAGACGTTTGAAACTATGGACACCTACTCATAGAGATACGTCTTCGAGTACGGTACTATCAAAGTTTGATTGGTTTTTTTTTTTTTGTTTCTAAGGAAAACGTCGTTATTCAGAATTCTTTGAACGAATGAAAACAACTATGCTGACAGCTTGTCCATCACTATACATGGATTTCTAAATGTGCTTTTTTGTGAACTAACATTTTACAGAGAATGTTAATGTTATCAAGCCCTAGCCTTGGGTATAGATGAATGTCACCATTTAAAAATCTGAAATCGGATGCCAAGGTATGTAATCTTGGTGTAACGATTCATCCCTTTGAGAGCATTGAGTAATTTAAGCTACACGTTTTATGATAGTAGGACGCTGTGACCATAGATTGATGTCTTGTGTCCATGGTCTGATAGTATGACTCTGTGACCATAGATTTCTGTCTTGTGCCCATGGTCTGATAGTATGACTCTCTGACCACAGATTGCTGTCTAGTGTCCATGGCCTGATAGTATGACTCTGTGACCATAGATTGCTGTCTTGCGTCCATGGTCTGAGAGTATGACTCTCTGACCGCAGATTGCTATGATTTGTGGCCTATTACTGAATTGGGGCACTCAGAATGACTGACAGCATGCTGCTTAATGGCTAACGCACATCAACGCCAGATCAATCACACCATATTTTTGACATCTTGGTGGATGCCCAGTCATTGTAGAATGGACGAAGAGGGATTTAAGTGGCATACAACAAATCCAGAATTTGGTATAGAGAGAGAAGGAGGGAGAAAGATGGGGAGGGACAGAGGGGAATGAGAGAGGAGGAGAGAGAGAGAGGAGGAGAGAGAAAGAGAGAGAGAGAGAGAGAGAAAAGCTGAGTAAAGCGTAAAAACTCAGGGCAACAGACATTTTAAAGTCATCGCTACAGGCGTAAATGAGCATCCTTTATTTAACTAATTGTTAAGAACATTAAAACAGCGCCTTTTAAAATTCATTTGCGCATTTTAGTTGGTATTCAGCATCCGGATCTTTTCTGAGAAGGATCAATCCAGAGTAGGGTTTCATTACGCTGAAATCACCCCCCCCCCAACGCCACCCACATACCATTTTATTCTCCCCCCCCCCTCCACAATATTTCAAGTTATTGACTTGGTGGTTGTGAATCCTGTAAACGTCCAAAAACTCCAACACTGGCCACACACGCCAAGTTTTCCCACAAGGGCAAGAAAATTCGATGGCCTAGTCGCACCGGTGCGTCTGGTGAAAGGGTGGTTGTAGACAACGATTCAAAACTAGATCAAACAGCTGGCCGAACACGTGATTAGAAGAGTTTGAGATTCGGGGCGCTGGAAGAAGAAGCACTATACAACTAACTGCGCGACTCCGATCATCCAGGGAAGAATGACATTTTACTGACGCGATCAAATCTAATCCAAAGCAAGATCCCATTGCGGTTATTTAAAAATAAATAATAACTCTAATATCTTTAATAAATATGTTATTCGATGCTGTTCGCCGTAACCCAGGGCTAGAATTGAACAGCGTGTATGTATAAACCAGGACAGATTGCAAATGTCAAATTTCACGTGTATTTTTTTTTTTTTTTTTTTTTTTTTTTTTGGAACGCGCCAAGAAAATGACCGAGAAAATGGTTCCCATGTTTACTAGCATGCAATTTGTCGATCATCCCCATCCATCTCTCGAGGCATTGCCTTCAATTGGTTTCTCGCCTCAATAGCCCGGGCATGTCTCTTACAACAAGCGAAAGGGCGGAGGGATTCCAAGACTTCCCCCCCTCCACTTTAAATATCTCCCCCCTCCCCCGTGGGCATTAATCTTTGAGTTGTTATGTGGTTTGTCTATGGCCAAGATCGTCCTTGTAATCTCCTGGTTAAGACGCGAAGCCTTTCAAACATCAGCGTTTAACAAATCATTTGTTGTTTTTTTTGCTTTTTTTTTCAAATAAAAACAGTTGTCTGTCTCCCCCTTGGGCCCAGCCAAACAATGAACTCAGTTTTCAACGGGCGCCGGTCTCTCTCTGTAATTTCATATCATTAAAAAAGCGTAACGCTCTTACTCGTTGTCTTTGCATCACGTTTTCTCTTTGCTTGCTTATTTAACAACAACAACAACAAAATTATTTGGGTTCTGTAGTTCCCTTGTGTAGAGACAAACCCTACAAATGATTTTCCAGCCAGACGCCGTCGAGCAGTCCCCGTGCATGATCTGATATTGATGACTGGTTTACTTATACCGCCCTCTATAATATGTTTGTCCTCCCAGCAATAGTTCCTTTCTTTAGATACTCCTCCGTCCTCTCTCTACCCCCCACCCCTTTTTTTTTTCTCCATCGGATCTCTGTCTGACACCCAAGATAATGATTTGCCGAAAGAAAATCCATAAATTGTTAATTTAAATGTTCACTACACGAAGCACGACTGCCGTGTCTGAATGCATCTCCTGGGTAGAAGGTTAATGATAAAATGTCTAAATAAACTATAAACTAACATACCTTTCAAAGTTTTAACCATACTCCGACCGAAATAGCTCAATCGGCATTATAACAGAACTATGCAATAATATTTTGCAACCACTATAAATATAAAAAACGTAACATATATCCATAATGAAAAATATAAGAAATTAAAAAAAAAAATACAAAAACTTCCAATGTAGCCTAGTTAACAGATGTCTTGTCATGGCCCGGAGCCAAATTTCCTTAATGACTTATCAAGCTCGGCGCAAATCAACAGACTGGAAAACTGAAAACAACAAACGGTATAAAATGATATCGATGTGGAAGTGAACTTTAGTTTAGTTTCATTGCACCAGATGAATTCGTTCATTTTCATTGATCACCGGTAAGTGTCGAAATTATGAACCAATTTCAATATGGAGGAAAGTGCAGACGCTACCTAACTCGGTCCAAAATAAACCCGGTCGAACGTACTCGCCATGATCTCCACAATCTACTTCATTTACAAACTACATATCACCCCAGACCAAAGTAACTGTACCGCTCGACTGGCTAGGTAATACAGTCAGTACATCATGAACGCGACTTATACCCATCATTTGGGATGGTGGTGGGCATCGAAATACCAAGCGTGTGGCAAGACACAGCATTTACCGTGGGCGCCATTTGAAAGGGGGTGGGGGGAGGCGAATTCAGTGAGCCGGATAAAATTATTTTGTGCTTATAATTTAGTTTATTTGTGAAACTAATGAATTTACTAACGATTGACTATAAAACATAGATTAGAAATTTTTCTATAAATCTTAATTAGGTCTATATTTTAAAAAAAGTTTTCTCAAGAATGATAGGGGTGCAAATTAAGCCCTTGTAGGGTCGCCATATGTCCTCGGTATTGGGGGGGGGGGGAGGGGGGAGTTGGAGGGTTGATAGGGATGACTTAGTTATAAACTAAAGAAACAGGCTGAGCTGTTCTCTACAAATAACGCTATCTCTCCCCCCAAAGATGCCACTTCCCATTAAGGAAAACATGTTTAAATTAAGGTTGCGATCTGATCTTTCGCTTCAGTGGATTCCTACTTCATCGGAACATTCCGGAGGAGAATATTGATTTGTGTTAAGGTCATTTCTGTAACAAGAGCAAAGGCGATCTTGCTGGTGTAGCCAGTAACAGGCAAATAAGGAGACAAATTTGTCCAGTTCTAGGGTACAGGCTAATATTACCATACCGATACTTGCTGTAGGTCACATTTTATCTTTCATAACACACACTACACTGAGTGATTCCCCTCCTCTGACCGATAAACGATCATTCTGGCTGCCGTCCATGGTTTGCCTTGTAAAAGTTATGTGTTGGGGTGGGTGAATATACATGTGTTTTGCTGTTCTTTATTTCATAAATGTATTTTATTTTAATGTCATGATTATGTCTCTTTTGATAAAATTTTTATGTACAGCGCGGTGAGCCCAGCCCTAGGCTAGGGTACCGCGCTATATAAGACCCCTTATTATTATTACTTATAGAAGTCAAACAGGGCCTAAAAAGCCAAGATCTACTTAGAGCAGGGGTTTGTAACCAGGGGTGCCCGAACCCCCTGGGGTATGGGGTGCAATGTCAGGGGGAGGACTTATACAATCAGGTTTATTTACATTTGATTAGCATCTTTAGTTTGGAGGGAGGGGGTGTGGAAGTGGGGTGCTGGAAATATGTGTGAAATGGAGTAGGAGATATGCAAAATGTTTTGAAACCAAGAGCGGGTGTGGCGATGCAAAAATGTTCAGAACCCTTGTCTAAGAAGTAGTATGATTTTCAGGTATATTGAAAAATGAGTGGGAAATAAATCAAAACAACTGAACTTGTACTATATTTTTAAACCAAAAAGCAAAGGCCGTCCATATACAGAGCAGTAGTCCCTAATGTTTTAAAAGCTATTATATTTTTAGCATCTCTTGTAAAATAAATTAAAACAACTGAACTTATGCCTTTTATTTTTGAGGTGGACTATATATTTAAACCAAAAGTCCATATGCAGAGCAGTAGTCCCTAATATTTTTAAAGTTATTAGATTTTTAGCATCTCTTGTAAAATTTGGGAAAGAATGACCATTCAGAGAGTTACATGTCCAGTCTTTAGAAAGATTTTTTTTGTTGTCAACTGGCTCTATTGAGAGTAACTTTTTTGATGATGCCAAATGAGAAAAGTTAAATCGTTGGTTCTGATCTTCAATGGTAATTAGGTCTGTCTCTCAACCAAGAAAGACGTAGTGGGTTGCAGTAAATCTTGGGGAGCTGGGTTCTTTCAAAGTTATAGATAAATGACCAGTAAGGATGACCTAGTTTGCCAAATAAAGCAAGTTATTTTGGAGAGAATAGTTAACCCTCTGTAATGAAACATTTGTCACTAAAAGCAGAGGAGTGCAGCAACCAACCAGATTTTAAAATAAAAGCTAAATATTACAGCAGCCTGAATAAATAGGTTGGAACTTTTATATTTTTTAACTCATGAGGCCTTATATTCAAATACAATTTAATTACTGTTGCAAAATTCTTCTTTGATATTTCAGACAGGGTTAAGTTAAATAGTTAGGCACATATAAAAAATTTATCAACTTGGAATTTTGTAGTTGAAATAAGATGAAAGATCAGGAAGCAGCCATTTTTGTTTAGCCTCACTTTTTTACAAGAGCGCTTATGTTTCTTTTTATAAATAATAAAATCTTAACAATTTCATCTCACTTTGGAAGATTTCAAACCAGGAAGATGGTCACTTTGGAAGATTTCACACCAGGAAGATGGTCAAGAGTAAACTAATAAAACTTAATGAGAAAGACTTACTTTTGGGATTGACCTTTTCCAACGTGTGTGTCTTTTCTTTCAGGTTCAAGGCCACGTTAAGACACAGCTGTACCATGTGGAGCCTAAGACACAAAGATAACACATATCAATGATTTGTAATCAACATGACTGACATGTCGGCTTGGCTTAGGGATTGATCTAATTTGCTTAAATTTTAAATTTAGTAGATCTCTTTGAGAAAGAAAAAAAAAAATGGATCTAAGATTTACAAGACAATGTCTCACCTCTGAACGGCATGCTGTACTTTACTGAGAGCTGGTGGATCCAAGATGACATGTGCGTCAGACAGAAGGAAGGCAGCCCTTTGACAGGCTTGTGGGTTGAAGCTGAGGTCCCACGGTTGTTCACTTAGCAGCGACAAGGCTGGAAATTTTTAAAAATTCAATCAACAATTTCCTAAATCACGGACAGATATATGGTGTACTTTTTCATCTAATTCAAGGTAAGTGGAAATGTTGCTCTACTATTTAAGTGGTTGTCATTTGCTTTAGGAACTGTTTCAGCAGTGTGCATAGTAAGAATCAAATATTTTCAAATTTGAATGTATTAAACTTATAAGAGAAAAATTTATTCAAAATAATTATGTGCAGCACGCTTTTTAAACAAAAAATGAGTTTAACTCTCCGTCATATCAGCTTAAGCATAATTTAACAAAATAAAATCATAACCATAAAGCTCAAACAACGGTTATTCTTCAGATGTGACTAGAATAACAAAACTACTATTTACAAATGTTAATCAAACCGTACATACCTCTTGGGGATGCTGAAAACATATCTTCTAGCATATGTTTTAGCTTCTTCCATTCAGAGTTTTCAAAAATATGAACCAAGGAGTTGGATATCGATGATCTCAAATTATGCAGACATCTTTCAACGAGGGCCACATCGTTGCCGCCCCATGTACCCATGGTGGCCAACTTTTCCTTAACTTCCGTCAGGATAGCACAGAACCACTCCAGGGCTAGTTGCCAGGTTGGTTCAGACTGAAGTGAGACAAAGATGGAGGCTGCTGACTGAAGTTGAGTCTCTTTCAGAGATGTGATTCCTCCGTTGCTAGAAAATTAAAAGGAATTCTCAAGCTCATACAAACAAACAACTCATCTGGTGATTGTTACATTTCACCAGTAACACAAGAAGGGGGTTGATCATTGGGGGAACTGGGCAAAGTTTAACAATAAAAACCCATTCAAGGCTTCATCAATTCAGTTGCTAAATTTACACACAACATTGTTGCAAGATTTTTCGTCTAACTTTTAAATTTTAAAACATACTGAATTGCCTAAAGTATAATGGAGGGTGAGTGGCAAGTCTACACTCAGACGACTGGAAGAAGGCTCTCGCTCTCTGTCGCTCTTTTTTTACCTACAATCCTTCAGGGTACTCTCTAGAATGCAAAGCAGAGGCTTGGCAGCCTGCTTGATGCCAACAAGTCTGGGTGATTCTGATGTCACACTATTGATTGGTGGTAGCAGAGCTTTATCCATCTTTGATAGAGAATCAGTCAGGGGGAAGTCAGTCAGATGTGTGGAAAACAGCTCTCTTGTTTTCTGTTATAATTTGAAATAGAAAAGCAAGTGAAATTAAGTGAATGAACCTCTCGTGCAGGCATTCTTGAAACTCATGGCATGTACCATACATCAAACCACTACAACATGAAGATCAACAGCAGTACCTGCTTGGTAGTGGAGCTCCTCTTGTTGCTAACATAAACATCTTCTACCACGTGGCTTGCTGCTTCTACGGCACTGAAGCCTTTACTGGTCAGCTGGGCAAACATTGCTCCAGCATGCAGGAGGTCTGCAATGACAGGCCTCTCGTTGAATGGCAGGCTGGACTTGAGGGTTGTGTGGAGGTGGAGCAGCCACTCACTCAATCTGGAATTGCCCAGTCCTGTGGCAGTCAGCATTGACAAAATGTCCTCTTTGCTGAAGGAGCATTCGTCATCCTGAAAGTATTCATATGCTGATGGTAATTTTATGAAATACCCATATGCAACAACTTAACATTAGCTGGGACTGATTTCCTTAATATCAACCCATTAACTCTGCTATATAAACAAAGAAATGTTGAAATTAATGTATTACCCATGACAACTGGTTCATAGATTATAGTGTATGTGTATCCATCAGGCATCACTCTCAAGTCTTAGTTTGTAACTATATAAAAAATGTATATGATCGGAAATGACAATCAAATGTATATGGCTGATGTTAAAGACTGTCTTTTTACCTCTCCCAAGATGTAAATCTCAATCCCTCTATTTCTCATGGCTCTTGAAATTTCTCCACGTTTTGGGTCCATAGCAAAGAACAGTCTGCACGGTAATCATATTTAAATTCAACTTTTTATCAGATCAATCAATAATCATTACATCAATCAACTAAGTAAAGCTGCAAAGAATTTACTTCTAACAAGATATCCATAGTTGCACCTTGCAGATTACAACCTGTCTTAATTCAAGCAAACATTAAATGTAAACCATTAAGAACTGGGGAAAAGTTCAATCAACCTTTTCGAAAACAAAGAAAGCCAATGCAAGTAAAACAACAGAAACCAACCTGAAATCAGGATGAGGTGTGATGGTTAGAATGGTCCCATCCACTGTTCCTCTCTCATTGACGGTGAGGACACCATTGGGTTCAAGTAGGGCATTCAGTCTGTCAAGAACTGATGCACTGAAATAAAAAATGTAATAAAAAATAGCTGCTTTATTAACATCCTTGTCTGAACTGATGTATCAAGTAAGCTGAGGCCACTTAGTATCAGCAACTGTTTTTTTTTACATGCAAAAGTTCACTGTTAGGAGGAAATCTGTCAGTTATGTCAGTTTGAATTCTTTAAGATTGTTTTATCCATGAAACTTTTACATAGTCAAATACAACACTATCAAATGATTTTTTTTTCAAATAAACAATTATTTTCCTTCTTTTATCTATGACACTTTTACACAGTCAAATACAGCACTATCAAATGATTTTTTTTCTTCAAATAAACATTTATTTTAATGGAAAAGGCAAACTTATGATTATAAAACAAATTGTACCAGCAACCAACCTGCAAAAGTTGACATTGTCAATTAGCAGCCATGAGCCATTCTGCAGAGCTTTGACCAAGACACTGTCCACCCATTCAAAAGCTCCTCCTCCTATCCCTGGATTCATGTTGGAGACTGTTGTTAACAGCTGAGACAGTCTCTGTCCTAATACTGATCTCTTGCCTGGAACAATACGTGACATCATTAATTTTCAATAAGAGATTATACAAAATAGGAAATATTTCCCTAAAATTTCATTAGATGACTTATTTCTATAACTCACCAGCTTGAGCAGGATCAACCTTATCCAGATGCAACAGAATTGTCTGCAGCTGCTTTGCATGGTTGGTCAAAAGAGATATTACTTTTTCAGTAGAGACACCCTCGGCTGAAACATAATACAGTTATCATGTAACATTGCTAGGATAGTTAACATGGAAAGAAAATAAGAAACAGACTTTCTTTTTTTTCAATGTTATATTTTAATGTTATCCTGTTTATTTTAAAAGCAGCTAAATAAAAAATGTGTGCAAAACTCACCTGATGTGGACAGACTTGTATATTCAGCCCAGTCTCTTTCTAAGCTCTGAACCTTCATTGTTTGTCTTGGATCTTCATCAATAATACATTGTCTTTCTACTTGTCTAACAGCAATTTGAACTTGTGATGCCACTTCAGCAATATGTCTCCACACATCAGACTAAAAAATACATGTTAAAAGCAGACTTAAAGAATAGTCCAAGCAATTATATTATTATCATTATTTCAAAAAATTCTTTTTGTTTTACTATATGCTAACATAATGGACACACCATTAATTAAATGTATTTTTCCTCTTCTGTCAACAGGAAATCCTAAATCATAATGAGTATTTCCAACTGACACTTTAACATTGCTGAGAATGCACTGAAGCACTGGGGAAATAGCTGGGAAAGTGACACATCATGAAGGCAGCTTACACTTTACTGGAGAACAACTTGTATGATGACAGCGGAATGCTCTATGGCAACACATCCAACTACAGCCTGCACTCAACAGCAGAGGGAGCTCTCCTGTTTATCGTGGCAGTGGCGGGAGGCCTGGGGAATATATTTGCCATGACTGTCACACTGATATGTCCAACATTCAGACAGATGTCATCGGCATTTCTGTTCCACCACTGTCTTCTGGATGCCGTCAAGTCTGGATTTTGCATTCCCTTCGGGTACAGCCTTCTGCTTGGTGCCGACATTCCCCATTGTGATGTCCTGGGAGCTGGGTATATTCTGCTCATGACAGTGTCTGCGTACAACTTGCTAGCTTTGTTAATCAATGAAGAATACCAGTGTTCATTTTCAACAAGAAGAAACTATCACAAAAATGGTGATGGCTGCTGCATAGCTTTCGGCGTTGTCATTATTTGGTTTACAACAGTACTTCTCCACCTTGGGGTCGCCTTCTTACCTGGCAGTTCAGAGTACAGCAAAGATGTAGGAAACTGTGTTTATCGCTATGGGGTCACTAAAAATTATGTCATACACGCCCTGTGGGTAATTCTTGTCACGGGGGCCGTCATTGTGGCCGCAATCAGTTTCTTTCACTTCTACAAAAAACTCCGCTCAAGCGCAAACAGCCGCAAGTGGACATTCCTCCACAAGTCCTTATCTTCCTTGAGTCCCAATAACGCCATGTACAATGACCAGAGTGAAGAGGTCCACTACGAGTTCGATGACCTGGCTTCACAAAAGGCCCTCCTCCAGTCACGCCGCTACCTGCGGCGCATCTCCATCATGATGGGCATGGTCGTTTCCTTTGTGCTCTGCTGGTACCCACTGTTTCTGCTGACACTGTTTGATGTACACTACAAGCAGCCCCCACACATTTACAGGCTCCTCATGATTGTGGCATGGACACATCCCATCACGACACCCATTTTCTGTGGAATTATCTACTACGACACAGCAAAGGGAGAAAAGGTTACCAAAGATGTGTACACAAACGCCATACCCATGACCACCTCCAGATCAGGTGAGGCTATACGGCAGGAGATCAACAACATGCACAGGGCAAGCGGGGGCATAGGCTTTCATAATGAAAACTTCCAGTTCACCCCGCAGTTCACCCCCAACCATGTCAGGACCACCTCACTGAGGGAGCGCTACGACAGCGTGTCAGACAGTATACACAACGACAGCGTGGCTCCACAGTGTGAGACAATCATAAATTACAACTCGGAGGAAGGGGGCTGTCAGACACTCATCATGTAAATTAAGTGGATGCTTTCTTGAACATGAACAAGTAAATAACTGGTCTTACTCAAATCGATAAATGTATGATAGTAAGTACACCAACATTAAGAATATCAAAATGATCAAACATTTTTTTACATTTTTACAAAAACTCATTCAAAAATGATAAACTAGATAAAAATAAATATCATTTGGACAAGATTTTACTCTTCTATAATTTAGCATAACAATATATTTATAAAATATTGAAGTGGCTATAACCATAAAAAGTATTTTCAATTTTATCTATAAAGAGAGCAATTCGCAGATATAATAAAATATGGACAAAGACTTCACTAAGAACATTTTTCTGACAATGGGCTACAAATACAAAACATTGGTTTGCAAAAAAATAATAATACTAATAATAATTATAATAATAGAATAATTATACAAGCTTTACAAGCATCAGAAATAATTTATAAGTAACCCATTTTTAATCTTACATTTATTTTGACTAATCTTTTGTTAATTTAAATTATTTTAAAAATAATTAACTTTTGAACAATGATTAACTGGTGTATGTTATCATTCTTACTGTACCTATACATTTTATTTGTGTGGATTTTTATGATGCTCAACAGTGGTTACCATGTTAATGTGATGTTGCAATTTATCTAAATTTATATCTCAATTCAATCTACTTGATGTAACATGTAAAATGTTTGACCCACTTTGTACTTTTACTAGATGCTAAAGACTGCTAAAGACTATCTACTTGATGACTGTAATCCTGCCAAAAAGATAAAAAATTATTTACAATAAACAAATGTACAACAATAAAGAGAAGAGACAGCACAACAAAACCAACCTGCTCAAAACCTCCAAGAAGTTCTGTTGTATCCATAGAGCTGTTCATTGGCAGCACAACAAGTGGGTGCCCAGTCAGCTGAGCCAGTAGTTTCACCAAGCTTGTCTTGCCACAGGATTGGGGACCAAGCTTTGAACAAAAGTTTATTAAAAACATGTCAATATTTTTACACAGGGGATTTGAGAGTTTTCTTATAATTTTAGAATTTAAACAATTAGTAGCAAGATAATTTGATGATAATATCAACTCACAAGGATTGCAAGCCAGCCCATCTCAATGCATTTAATCAGTGACTCCAGTGGTTCAAGACTATGGTGAAGAGCCAACATCACACTGCTAGAATCAATGACAGTGTCACTGTTTCTTGGTATGAAGGAATGCCCAGCCTGGAGTGTTGACTGCCCAATAAAAAGCTTTCTTGAAGATTTATAAAGAGGGTACTGGTTTCCAAGGACTGAGTTGTAGAGTTCTTCCACCTGACATAACAGAAACAAAGCGTTATGTTATGTCTTGCTTGTTTTTATAGCTATTAATTAACTTAGAATTTTGTCAAATTTTGTATTCTTGTCATGATGCAAGAAAAATTTTAAATGTGCTTTTTATGTGCTACTTGATAAAAATATTAAAACAAAGGCCAATTAAATAAAATTGAGAAAATGTTCCATCCTTCTGCTTTGATCAAATGTGGTACAGGGCAAGTAAAAACATTATCAAATTCAAAAATTATTTAATATTTTTTCAAAATGGTAATGCAGCAGTTTATAAAAAAAAATTATCAAAATTAAGAAGGCAATAGAAAGAATGACTGAGAAGCGTACTGACCCAGATACCTGGGAAATTGCTAGTATTAGCACACTTGGCATATAAACGGGGAAAATAATGGGTCTGTGTTTTTATTTTTTTTAAAAAGTAATTTAAAAAAAAAAGTAATCTATGGGGAGAAATGAAAAAAGTGAATACAAATAAATAGTACATCATTTTATTGTAAATTTACCTGAATTAACTAACAATACAAGACTGACTAGACATTTATGCAAAAAGGTAAATGAAACTGCAAAGCTCTGGAAAAAAAAGTACTAGCAGTAAATTTTGTTTAATTATTTGTCTTAGCAATATGCATTTGTTTTGTTATCACCTTGGCACTTTCTATTTACAATTAAAATTTTATTTCACTGGCTGATGAAGCCATTGGTTTAACTGAAGGAAGGTTAGGATGGTATCGTCATAATAATGATTAAATATTTATTAAAATAATATGCATTGGTTGGTATCAGAAAAATGAAAAACTGCTACAACTGCTACCAACCAGCAACCAACGACAATAAAGACCTATAGCAAAGCCCCCTTCCCCCGTTTGATTTTCGTTATGTTTATGGGTTGGGGCAGTGGTTCTCAACTTGTGGGTCACAACACCCCAGAGGTTGACTAAAAAATGTCAGAGAATTTTCATTACTGAGGGTTAGGGGTGTGTGTGTGTGTAAAATGTGCACTTTTTCTTAATTGAATTTTCATTTCAAAATTCAAATATTATTTCATAGACCGGATTAGTTTCTTATTGTTACTAAATCATTTTTTTTTTAAACTATGATTCATTCAGCTAATTTAATATAAATATTTTGGCAGTTTCTTTTCCTTTTTTACAAAATAACATAATGTTTTTTTATTCTTTGTTTAATTTTTTTAAAATTTTGTGTAAACTTACAATTGGGCAACTTCCCTGCAAAACTACAACCAGGAGTGTGAATTAATCAAAAATTTTCTGGGGATCGACTTACAGAGCTCACTTAATAAAACCCTTGAACCTTTTCAGCCCTTATTTCTGCTTCCCTCCACCCCTGATCAAAATTACAGTAACAACACCTATTATCTACAAAAAAAGCTCTCCCCCCCCCCACCCACCACCAACCGTTTTCTCAATTTCAAGGAATAATTCTGGTAAATATTATATAGGGGTCGCTGCACTAAAAAAGTTGAGAAACGCTGGGTTAAGATTAAATAATTAAGCAATTTTTTTTTTTGAAGCCTTCAACTTTGATGCCTCGTGATCGCTACTGGTTCTATACATGAAATTTTAGCATCCCCAATCAGGTGTAACACATTTTAGAAAAGAGAAGATAACTCATTTTTTTAACACCCAGACTCAGACACGCCTGTTATTTTCTCAAAATAACTGTAAAAAAACTGCACCCGGCTAAGCTCTAATAAAAAGAACCTTCTAAATTGAGTTACTTTTATAACAAGGATTCCATTTATTTTAAGCATGGAAAAAACGTTATTTTTAATTAGCGTATCTTTCACTTTGCTAAAACATCTAAGCATTTAAAATAATCAATAATAAAAAGGAATAAACACTTTTAATAAAAGGCGATCTTACTTTAGCTTTGTCTGTAGCTGATCTCATTCTATCAGTGTAGATGAGGCCAACATAGTGTCCTGGATTTAAGCTGAAGTCTGCCTGGAGATATAAAATTTCATTACAAATTAAATAAGATATTTAATTAAAAATCTGACAATTTAAAAAAAAACTTCCTTCACAACACATAAATGGAAATAAAGCTCCAGTACATAAAGTAATAAAAAAAATATCTTTTGTTAAAGGATGACAGAAAAATAAATTAGTTAATAGCACATTGAAATACTGATGGATAAAACATCTATTTTGGTTTTTTAAAAAATTAAGACTTTTCATTCACTTGTAAAATGAACTTGAAACAAATAAAGATATATAATTTCTGAGCAATTTTTTAAAATGAATTTTTAGTTGAAAAGCTTGAATTTAAGGTTAACTTGATGGTTTTAAAGCATTTATACATAGCTTGAATATCATAAGCATGTTTAGATACCTTAAAAAAAATGTTCAATCTGCTATAACTCACCTGGTTTGCTTTAATCAGGTCACACCATCTAAAGAGATCTCGAAGATTGAATTCCCACGGAGAACCTTTTATTCCCCACAGTTTCTTTACCATTGTCTGCTCATAAATCTGGCAAAATAGAAGTCAATTTAGTTAAAATCTCTAAGTAACTATTTTTTAGTCATTACTTCTATTTTTACAAGAACAGCATTTTATTTTTAAACAATTTAAGCACTTTAACTTTTTTTAAGTTGGCTATTAAAAGGCATTTTGATATGTTTTTAAAAATCTCTAATAAATGCAATGCAGTTGAATGTGGCAACAATACACTTCATCAATATTTTTTTTTTTTTTTTTTAAAAACCTTTGAGTTAAAGTCAACCATAAGAGTCAACATTTCCTCAGATAAGTTGGGGTACATTGTCTTTGTGATGAAAATTAGGTCTTCTTTAGACAGAGGATCCACATAGACCTAGCAAAGTAGAAAAATAAAATTTAAAAAAATTTAATGAAACATTCTTATTTATAAATACCTTTAGCTATGATTAAATACTATTAAAAAAAGTATGCAACCTTTTTCACTCATTCATTTACTTCTCTGACACAACTGTTAATTTGTTAAAATAATGTCAAAATTCATCTGTAAGAGACTTAAATGTGGCCAAATTTGAATTAACCAAGAAATACAAAGTTAAATTATCTAATTAAAAGTTAACAAAAATTCACCTGGGTGAATCTGTTAAGAAAAGAACGAGGCAATCCCTTTCTTCCTCCACCTTGAGAGAGTGGGTTCTGACAGGCAAAAACACAAGTTTTTTCATGCTGAATGTGGAAAGACTTGCCCAACTCTGGAATATATACTTCTGCACGGTGATCAAAACAGGCATTGAGGCCTTCAAGAACAGACTGTGATGCTAAATTCAGCTAAAAATTACAAACAAAAAACATTGTTAATGCTTTTTAATCAACTTTATTCCTGAAAACTAAAAATGTACATTATAAAGATATATTAAATCCCTAAGTGGTCTTTCCCTGTTCAGTTAACATTTACATGCAGAAAGCTGTTGATTTAGACTGTTGATGGTAACTAGGTCAGAAATTGTCTGCTGGACTCTAATTCCTATACCTCATCAAGAACAACCCAATGACCAGCTTTGAGGGCCTGAAGAAAAGGTCCATCTCTCCAGGCAAACATACCACCTTGACCACCTTCCACTGGCAAGTCAGCTCCAAACAGGTCAGTTACATCCTGCCAATCAAAATAGCATACAAGATAATAAAACAGCCACAAGATATTTTTAAAAAAACGGTCCTAAGGTAAAAACAACAGTCACAGGGAAAAAATACTGATACAAGATAAAAAAACAAATTTTGTTTTAAAACTGTACAGCTTACCGTCTGCTCAGAAAGATTTATTCTGATGAGCTTTTTACGGGCCATTCTTGCAACTGCTGCTACAAGACTTGTTTTGCCCACTCCAGGTGATCCCTCTAGGAGCAAAGGACGGGGCAGCTGGAGACCCCTGAGCAGTTTTTGGGCATTAATGCATGTTGTAGGAGCCTCGAATGCAAACATTTCATCAGCTGCGCAGACAACAGGCTCTGAAAAAAAAAAAGAAGTTAACATTTTTTATTTTTTTAAGTCTATAAAATGTGGCGTAAACAAAATTCAATGATATCAAGATTTGTATCATATAAAATCTCCAGTTTGATAGTTACCTCTCTTGATGGAAAAAGGAGCGATTGTCAAAGAATTTTCAGTAACAATAAGGGATTTCTCTACTCCTGATCTATCTAACAGAAGTCCACACAGGTTCAAATTTATTTCACGACCCATTAGTCTGGATAGTTGTCTTTGAAGGAAATGGAAACACAAAATTCTGGAATCCTTTGTGTTAGCCTCTGAACTGAATGTTGCTGAACCTGGAAAGAAATAAAATTAAATAAATACATAGACAAAATAATGAAGTACTTTACTTGTAAAAGATCAAATATTGTGAAACTTCCTAAATGATGCCTTTTTCCTATAAAAAAAAAAAAAAACAACAAGATAACAAATTATCATTAACCAACTAGTCATAATGCTAATAAAATGTTATCTAACTTAATAAGAATGAAGGCATATATTTTTTCATGATTCCATTACAATATCAAGTGTAGCTTTCGGGGTCTCATGATGATGAGTTGTTAGTCATCTTTATATGGATATTCTGAAGTATTTATATATTTTTTTCAGTACAGAATTACTGATGGATTATTTCTCATCGATCCTTGCATACACTGCACAAGAAAATCTTGTGCAATAATCGGTCTTATCAACCATCTGCTGCATCCACAGAAAAAAATCAGCCCTAACACCAATTAGATGATTTAAGTGGTCCTCATTGATTCAAGTGATGAACTAAACTAACAACATTCTCATCTCACACTATAACAGTTAACAAGTTACGGTAAGAAAATCACTATGTAAAAAACCTACCAGCACCCAAGCTGTCAATAAGAATCAAACAAGCCCCATGGATGTAGGAGATGAGAGGGTCAAGGTTGCAAAGGGATGCTCCATCTGTTTCCATGTCAACATCCTTATCCTCATTCTCATTCCAATTTGAGGAACATGTGTTGATGAATTGTACCCAACTTAGAATGTCTCGAATACTCACTGTAGTTCTAAATGTGAACATTAAAAAATACAAATGAATGTTTCTAAATTCTCTCATCCAATAAAATATATACCTTTTCTATGGTTCTAATGTATAACTAACAAGAAGATATAATGTCTGATTAAAAAAGGGTTACCTTTTCCCAACATCTGTACTCATAAACCACTCAATGAATTCCATGATGGCATGACCAAACCCACTATTACCATCAGGGGTTTTGTATAGTTGAAGACTAGATTTGATGTTTTTCTCAATGACAGACACAAGATCATCATGGTTATAAGATTGAGGGCACCAGATCTCTGTGAATCTGTTTCTTAAGGCAGGGGAGAGCTGAAATGTATTTTTAAAATAGGAATGTTGTTATTCAAAGCATTGCAGGAGAGTAAAAAAAAAAGGCTGAACTTAATATAACACTATACATATAATAATTAAGTTAGTCTTTATTTCAAGAGTCATCACTCTGTATTACAAAGTAACAAACTTTACCTCTTTCTTGCCAAAGTCTCCACCGGGATTCATGGTACCAAACACATGGAAGTGTTCTGCAGCTTTCAATGTCTCTATCTCTGATGAAGAATCTCCACCTCTTTCTGCTAGCAAAATTGTTCTTTCTGGTTCTAGGACACTGAAAATTAGATACGTTGAATAAAATAAACATTTAAGTGAACTAGACACAAAATATATAGATAAAAAGTCAGTGTATGACAAAACAAAGATGTGTTTATTTCAGGAGGAAATATAATTAAAACTTAAAAGCAATTTTGTGCACATAATGAGGCATTAAGAGGAAAACTTAGGCTATTTCCAAAGGCACTATTTCATAAACCCCTTTTCTTATAGCAAAATATGACACCCACCTGTTTAATCTCTCCAACACAGAATCATCAGCCAAGGAAATTTCATCAATCAGAAACATGGCCCCTTCTTTCATTGCTTTAACTAGAGGTCCATCCTTCCATTCAAATAGTTTGTGCTCTCCATTCTCCTAGTGAAATAAAGATTTACATGAGATACACTAATCATCGGTAAACTCTAGTTTGATGCGAAACATAGTTTACTGCAAAACAAATATAAATGGAAGTTCAAAGCATGTCATAAATCTTTGACTTAATACACTCACTGAGTCATCATGATTTCTCACTGGTCTTAGGCCCCCCAGGAAATCTGCACTTTCTGTATGCATGTGGCAGTTGATGCTGTAAAGATCTCTTCCTTGCATGGCTGCATACAACTGACAGACTGTTGTCTTACCAACACTGCAAAAGAAGCACTGCTTTCTTAGTGATAAAGTCAAACAAGGCAAAAAGTTTTCATAAAAATTCACAACTTTTAGGAAGCAAGAAGAGATTAACATGTTCAGAGACTTACCCAGTATCTCCAACAAGCAGGATGGGCTCCTTAAATCTGATGGCCTGACCAATCAAAACAGCTAATCTGCGCATACTGTAAGTCCACACTATATGCTGAAACTCAGGGAGTTTCTGGTTCATAACATCAGTCAGCATGGCCGCCACAGGAGCTGATGTTGATGGTGTGGTATTAAATAGTGAATCTACTTGTAACTTTCTTTTTAAATTTTTTTCAAGGACTTCCTTAATGATGACCTCTTCTTCCTGTTTCCTTACCCTACCGGCAAGTAACAAATACCCTGAAAATAAATAGATTTTTTGAAATTCAATAAGCATTTTGGGATAGAGTTTACAGTTAAGAGATATGTAAAGATTGAAAGTAGGATTTAAAAATGTAGATTGTGAAACTATATATTGTCTGCATTTTCATTTACCATTCACATTGTTAAAGTTGTTTTTTTGTTTTTTTTTCAAAATTTAAAGCAGCCCAAGTCCGATATTATTCAAAGTGGTAAAACAGATATTGTTATTTAATAATTTGACATGCATAAAACATTTCTCTTAGAGTTGGTTTTACTTTTAAAAAAAAGATAAGAATCCAAATCCCTGATTACAAATAGTGCAGTGAGATTTTTTATTTGATACAAAAATAGCCCTTTAGTAGGTAAATGTAGAAATTTAATCTAATGCTACGTTGCCTAGTCAGTGACAAGTTGACCTAACAAGGATACAGATAAAGCTTTGCTGTTATCTGAAAGCTTCTTCAAACCTAAATATCTTATGTTGGTATATCTTGTACTGCACATCTTGATCCAAAGCTTAATGTAACTGTTGATTACTCGGCATTTCAAAGCCCGTAAGAATGGGAAAATAAAACTAAAAGAACTGCTAACCATGTTCAGCTAAATGCTGATCCCAGTCATAAAACTTCTCTCCCTTTCCAGCCTCAGGACAATTGTATCTCAAAGCCCATCTGAACAAATCTCTAAGTGTCATGAAACCATGCTTGCCAGAAAAAATGCCAGATCCTCTGCGGCGTGTCTGAAATAGATATAGAGATGCTAAAATTCAACATATCCAAAAAAATTAGCCAAAGTTTTGCATAGCCACAAAACTTTTATCAATATTTTATTTAGAAGTAATTAATTTTTTAAAATGTTAATTCTTTAACTGAATAAAATTAAAATCCAAACTATCTATTACCTGTAGTTGCAACATAACTGCCACCAATTTCTTTGCATAAGACAAAGGAATCCCACACCTTTCATGCAGAATAGTTTCAAGTTCAGATGGTGGAATTTCATCAAAGTGAAGTTCAATGAATCTGTTGCGAAAAGCTCTTGAAAGGACCTGAAAAAAAAGTTCTTAGTTTGTTTCTAATAACATAAAAACTAGTTTCTTTTAACGCAAATTGGTGTTTATCGGAACAAATTATGTCTAGATATATTCGGATCAAGAAAAACTGTCAATGTAATTAAATGAACTTTTACCTAGATTTTGCATTAAGTACAAATTTAAATGGTCTAGTAATAGATTATTTTCATACATCAAAATTCAGACTGCCAAATTGAGTATTTTGGATATTTTTGAGAATTACAATGCAAATATTTTTGCATTTATAAAAGTACAAAAATCTGACTATTTGTGTTGAACTACCTTTCTTCCACCATACATTCCTGGTGGGTTCTGAGTGGCAAAAAGAATAAACTTAGGGTGAGCATGAACCATTTCTTGTGTTTCTGGAATAAACAGTTCTTGATTATCATCCAGAAGCTGAAAGAAATAAAAACAAAAATAATTGTTTTAACTATTAAAAACTTTTAGATAAAATTCTGTTTATCTAACAAAATAATAATATCCAAGAATATTTTTAAATGTATTTCTGGCACACATATATTCACTTACCCTATTGAGTGCCTCAAGTACATCTGTAGGAGCCAGGTTGAGTTCATCAAGTATGACCCAGTGACCTTTTCTCATGGCTTCCACCAACACTCCTATTTTTTATGAATGAGTAAAAAAAATTGTTTAATCAAAAGTCTTATTTGTGACCTACAGATTTTTTTATAAGACATGGGATAAGAAAAATGTGTTACCTTCTTTAAAAACCAGCTTTCCATGTTCATCGGCTGCATAACAGCCAATATACTCTTGTAAATCTGTGTGCTCATGATTGTTTACCCTAACACAAACATTGCCTGTCAACTGGGCCAAGTATGTTATCAAGCTAGTTTTTCCTACTGACGTTTCACCTTGGAGCAGAACAGGATGTCTCCTAGTGGGCAAACAGAAATATTATTTTTTATCCTGTTATCACATTCAATAAATTTGCAAATAAATATCTGTTATTCATTAATAATTTTTGTAAACAAGTATCTTGTTATTAGATAATAAATATGTATCATAGTTACTGTTTAACTGACCACATTTGTATGTGTTAACCAAATATAGTATTTATTGTAATGATTGTGTAATTAGCTGAAATAAAATCTTATAATCACCCTGCAGAAACCACTCTAGCCAAGTCTTTGAGATTAAGTTTTACGGATGGTGTGACTATGTAGTTTGAAGGAACGGTTGGTTTCAGCAGGCCCCTTGAGATCCAGTAATCTGCCACATTAACCCAATCAAGATCTTCTCCATCTGGCCTAGGCAATTTCTGACCCAATACAGCTTTGATTGCAGAACCACTCAAGATGTGTTTGCAAATAAGATCACTGACTATAGGATGTGACGAACGGTCAAGCTGAGTGAGGAAGCTCAGACAAAAGCCCTGTGTTTAAAGGCCATGTTAGATTGTTAGTTAATAAAGTGAACTCTAAGTTATTAAAAACTATAAATTTTAAATTACAAAATTATTTCAGATTCATAAGTAACACAATTTAAAACAATTAAGTAATTTTTTTAACACGCTTTCTTGTGAAAAAATAACTTATGTAACAAAAGGAATATCGTATTGTGAATGCTTTAAAAAAATTAAATATTATAATGTAAACTTTATCTAATTAGTTCAAAACATATATCCATACTCTTGTTTAATTAAAGAACACATTTACCTCGTACAGAGATCGGGGTACACTCCTACATGAATTCCTAGCAGAGAATCTAAGAGCCCGGCACAATGTTCGTAAGCTGAAAAGGTAAAAATTACATGTAATAATGAAGAATAATCTTGAAAGCAAGTTTCTAAATAATTACCATTGTTCGTTTGTAACCCAAAATAAGGTGGGTGAGAAAATTTTATTAAACCGATTATAAATTATATTGTTTAAACCCTTTTATTAAAGCTGACATTTGAAATTGTAAAATAAAGGAGTTTTACCTTTACAGCCTTTTTTTGCCAACAAATTTCCCATGAGCAAATAATTTTTTTCTAGTTTCAGGTAAGAATATTTTTAAAAATCACAAAGTGATCCAGATACCTTTGTCTATTTTTAGGTTTTTGAGAACTGAGTGGGAATATTTTCAGTTTCTAAACAGATTTTATTTTTAAAATATTTCTGCAGTTTTTAAGCTTGATCAAATCTTCAAAAGTTAACTTACAATAAGTCAAAAGAACACTGAAAAAAAGTAACAAAAAAAAAACAACAAACAATGACATTGATTCAGACTGACCTGAAATGTGGTTTGTGTCCTGTGCCATCTGTAAGCTTTTCTGAAGGGTCTCCTTTGATGCCTAAATAGAAATTGACAATGCCTGACACCTGTTTTGAGGTTAGTGACAAGCCAGGCAAATAATCCCGAACTAAAGTGGCAAGATCTTTGGGACAATCTAGTTCTTCAACATAAAATTCTGTGAATCTAAAAATAGCACAAGGAAAAATAATATGAGGAATCCAAATTCAATTAAAAGTAAAAATAAAAGAATCATGAATAAAATTCTACTAGACAGCTCATGCTAAAAGGGACCAGAATAACTAAATTATATGATATTACATTGGTAAATATCAGTAAAAACTAATGAAAAATTAAATAGCTTTAGGCATAAATACAAGTAAGTTCAGAACAGAATAATAAGTATCCATCTACGCATTATTATCTAGGATACAACGAACAAAGCAGTCAAAAATATAATCAATGTAACAAGACTATTGATTTGTTGAATACCCACCGATTTCTAATTCCAACTGGAAGGTCTTTCTTTCCCACATCTGTGGCAGGATTCATACAAGCAAATAACCTGAATTCTGGGTGTCTTTTAATGGGCTCTATGTCTCTGTAACAATGAAAAACAGTTTTTATAGTGCACTCATAAGGTATCCATAATAAAATAATGTTTCTTAAAACAAAATTATTTACCTTAGTACATAAACAATGAAAATGCAAATCATAAAAAAGAATTTTTATTTTAATTTAAGAAAAACTCAAAACAAATTTATCCACCACAGTAAGATATATAACATTATTAATAAAATAACATGTAAAAGAATTCAAGAATATACATGCAGAGATAACTGATTTGTTATAACATGTGTCTTAAACAAAACTTACCCTCTCTCTGTCAAAACAACTGAACCAGACACACTCTCTAAAAGTCCACTCAGACATTCCAGTGTCTCAGCAGCAGCTAAATTAATTTCATCTAACAGCACCCAGTCTCCATTACGCAATGCTTTCACGAGAGTGCCCTAAATACAAAATAGAAATTTAATACATCTGGGCAAGACCAAAAATTTTTTAATAAAATCGCTCCGCATTTTCTCAACCTAAAATTAAATAAATGTTACTGAACTTACTTCGATAAATGAAAAAGCCAAAACATTTTCTGCCTCCCTAATCTGCAGCCTCAGTTCATGGATCCTGACCTTGACCTTACTCCACTGATTGTATTCTTGGCTCCCTTAGTGAGAAAAAACCCCATACATTTCATGCATTATTTTATTGTTGGGGGTAAAATTGTAAGTATCCTTTATTTTATTTTCAAACAAAGTGTCTCTCTTTGAGCAAAGAAAAATTAGACATTTACATCCATCAAATAATAATAATAATTTAGCATTATATCACCATAATATAGTTATAACTTTTTGGGAAGTACCAGTACATAGAAAAAAAATATTCTGGATTTCTTTCAGCAGAAACTTGCTAACAGTTAAGATAACACCCATTTGCCTCATGATGGTTAAGTACAATGGATTTCAGCAAGTTATTTTGACCTGGTTGGCATAAAAAAAGGAGTTTTTTTTCTCTTCCCAAATGACAGTTTCATTACGGACCTTAAAAATCTATTCCAACTAGCTACTAACCAGCTGGAAAGAAACCAGGCCAATTAAAATACCCTTCCTCTTGGGAGAAAAGTTAATTGTGTCAAAGGGGACAAAAACATGTTTAATTTACCAGATATTTCAACTTAACCATAAACATTTATCAGACTATAGATGTAAAAAGATTTACCTAATTCATACTTCTTTAGAGCCTTATCAACAGGTGCTTCTATCAAGGACAGAAGATCATTCCAGCGTTTTTTTGAGAAGAGTGTCTAAAATTATTAAAAAAAGACTCATGATTTATAAATTTTTGTGATTTTTAGAGATTTTTTAAACCATCCTACACAACACAATAAATTTCCTTCACTAACGTAATAATGACAATAATTTAACAAGAACAAAGCTAATCAGGCTAGATTTATTTTAATGGGAAAATCAAGGTTGTACAAGAAATTGCATCAATCTCAATATCTAATCATTTAAATTTGTTTTTTTTTTACCTGGATGTGGGAAAGAAATTTTTCATTTTGTGCTCTTGAGAATGAGTTGCAAAAAAGAGTTTCAAATTCTTCTCTAAGTGGCATGATGACAAATTTCAAATCAACTGGTTTAAAGCTAAATGAAACAAGAAGATGTTTATACATTAAAAAATATATATTTAAAAAATTATTGTGGTTTATTTTTATAAGATTCCCAAGGACAAGCTACAGCCCAGTTTAACATGCAATTTATGTAACCTTAATTTTTATTTAGACTAAAATCTAAAATTATATCTAAAATTTATGTAATTATTAAATTGATAATTACCCGCCCAGAAGGTCTGTGCTGTCACTTTGCTGGTTTAGATTAATAACATGTAGCCTATGACCTAAAAAGAGTAATGATGTTAATTTATTTTTTAATATGATTATCCTCATCAGGAGATTATTTAAGGCAACCTAAGCACTAGTTTCAAGTTTTAGATTTGTTTATACATTGGATATCACGTCTCTTCTTCTTCTTCTATATCGTAAGGGCCCACGATCAATTTATTGATCAATTTGGCTCCTATGCATGTAGATGGGATTTGCAATGTTTCTGTTACTGGTGGTGATGAGGAAATCATGCACTAGGGGTTTGAAGGCTTGAGGCAATAGACACAAATGTGTCTAGTGTTGTCGCCTCAACTGTTCCTTTTGAAAGATTGTTCCAGTCCCTGATTGTCTTGGGCAGGAATGAGCAGCTCCTATACTGGCTTCTTGCTGGTATGAGCCTGAATTGCCTGTCATGGCCTCGTCGCTGTCTATGGGGGAGAGGGACGAGTTTCTGTTTAATACTGGAACAGTGGACCAGCCCATTATTTATCTTGTACATCATGGAGAGCCTGGATTGTCGTCGTCGTTTCTCCAATGGTGACCAGCCTAGTGTTTCTAGCATGCTGCCAACACTAGAGGTATTCCTGTAGCGGTTTAGGACAAAGCGTGCTGCTCGTCGCTGGACCGCCTCCAACCTGTCAATGCTCTTCTGGGTAAATGGGTCCCAGACTGAAGATGCATAATCTAAAATCGGACGGATAAAGGCTTCATATGCTCTTTCTTTCACACAGGAGTTGCCAATCTTTAGATTTCGCCTTAAGAACCCTAGGGTCTTGTTTCCTTGGTTACATACATTGTTAATATGCTCGTCCCAGCGGACCTCTCTTTGAATGGTAACACCCAGGTACTTTACGGAGGAAACTGGCTCAAGTATATGGCCGTGCAGTTCGTATTGGTAGTGTAGAGGAGTACAACTTCTAGAGACTGATAGTGTCTGGCACTTGGCAGGGTGAAATTCCATGTCCCAGCTCATCTCCCACTCAGCTAACAGATTGAGATCCTGTTGTAGCTGGTCCTGGTCAGATCTGTTGGCGATCATCCTATACACTGCTGTGTCATCTGCGAACAGTCTTGCCTGTGATGTCAGTTTCTCGGGTAGGTCATTAATGTATGCTAGGAACAAACAGGGGCCCAGGACTGATCCCTGGGGGACCCCTGACTTCACATTGACGTCTTCAAAGAATCAGTGTAGGAAGACATTAAAAGCTATCATTCATAAAAAAATTAAAACCACTTTATTATTCTGACCCATTGGTTGGCAGCATTTTTAATATCCTTAAAAGCGTTCCTACCTAAATGATGCGCCAAAAACTGAACAGTAGAAGTCTTTCCTGTTCCAGTTTCTCCACACAACAAAACTGGTTCATTGCGTTGAATGCAAACAGAAACTTTTTCCAACAGGACTAATGAAGATCGTGTGTAGGAAAACACAGGAGCAGGTTTACTGTAGAATCAGAAATAAATAACCCAAGTTAATGCACCTTAAAAGAAGTTCAATGTAACTCACCATAGCCTTTATTGTTTGTCTATAAATACTTTCATCTATTTTTTTTTCTTAATTCTTTCTAAAGCAAATCAAGTTTATGCATGTTAAGAAACTTTTATTTTTAAAATGGAATTCTATTTACTTAGGAACAAACAGTAACAACAGGTCAAAACATTTGTATTCTCACCTTATCAAACTATTTAACTTAAGCTTTTGTCTTTTCAACTTGGCTCTTCCTATTTCAAGAAAACTTGTTGTCTCTTGTACTCCTGGTTTGTGCTCTGCACAAAAATATTTAGCCTGAAAAATACAAAAATATTTAGCCCGAAAAACAAACAAAAATCATATCTACGCACAAACTGCAGAAAAGAACAGGTAATGTATATCATTAAAGACTTGAGACTTAATTATAATGCAAACACAAACACTAATTGAATGCATGTATACAGATATGACAACAACAAAAAACATGATGTAGAAATATAACTTCAGTTTATCCAATCTAGGTATTACTCACCCTATCCTCAGTAATATTTAACTTCACACCAATGGCTGTTGCCAATGAAAGTCTCATGTTTGGTTTAGAGAGACAAGAAACAAAGCAGTCCAGTGCTTCAAGAAATACTTTCAAACCCTGTGAGGATTCAGTATGATCAAAGTCTACACTTGAACGGCTACACCAAGTCATTAGGTCTCTGAAGACAGAAGGAAAGGTTTTCCTGTTTAGTTATTGAGGGATAAATGCTTTTATTTGGTCTTTAAATGAATAATAAAGAAATATCCCTTTCCTACCATATATCACCCCCTCATTCTCACTATTTACAGTGTTTGTGGGGTACAGAATGAATTGTAAAATATCATTTGAAATTTTGAACATACCTTGTGGAGATCAGCCTGCCATCAAGAGAAAGAAATTTCCCATGAGTAGATGATTCTCCATGTTGGTCTATTTCTCCCATGTTGTGTCTACCAGCAGACAACAGAAAGTAAATGTTCAAAAGTTTGTCTGCGACAGGTGATAATGCAGAAAATTTCACTGATATAACCTGTTAGAAAATTAATGGCAGATATTGGAATAAAATGATAAAAATGTCTTTCTTTCACCATTTTATCTTCATTTTATTCATTCTTTTGCAATGCTGACGGTTTAATATGCTTGCCTACCAATGAACTAAATGTTATCAACACATAAAAGCTCGAAATAAATCCAATTGAAAATAATTATTTAAGCAGTCTAAAGAACCAACTTCAATTTTTAGGCATGGGTCAAAATAATAACATCATAAATCATTAAAAGTCTTGGAATACACATTTATCTACATATGAAAGAAGTTAACGTCTAGAGAGATTTCTAATGTAAGTAACATTTAATAAGCAAATAAATTAATGATCATAACAAAATGATCTACATCAAGCATAACTAGGCATTAATCATATAAGGGTCAGAAAACCTAAAATGAGGTAAAAAAACATCTATAAAATTAATTTACTTTCAAAAGGTATTAGGATTTACTAATCTTTTATAGAGTTAAAAAAAACAAACATCTGTATGAAACTGTTTCAAAGCCACAATGGTAAGCAAATAAAATCTAAGATTACTAACCTCTTTCAGCTCATTCCTAGATAAGGGCTCTACATTGATTATTGTGCATAATTTTTCCAGCACAGCAGAATTTCCTCCTTTTTGTTGATGAATACCTTCTAATGAGCTCACAAGTCTGGTTGAAATAGAGAAATATATGTAACTAAAAGTTAGCTAAATGTATGAAATATAATAAATATTTTTACAAAGTCCATACTATATACATCAGGTACAAAACAAATGGAATTTTCCGCTGATAAGATGAATAGGAAAAATGTGTAACAAGTCTACTGAGGTGTCCATTGATACAGAATCAAATTAGCCCCACTTATGAAAAGTGTGCACTTTGAAATGAACAGTGGCGTATTTTTATGACCTTTCCTACATACCTTCTGGTTGTGAATAACTGAAAGCCTGGAGACACTTTAACCTCATCCCCATGACCTGGAACCGATAGTGTTCCCGTTTCTGCCAATGCCACCAACAAAGATAAGACATCCATAGGAGCGGTGTCAACATCCTCCAGCAACACCCAGCTTCCTTCTACAACAGCTTGAGTAAGTACACCAGCCCTCCACACAAATTCTCCAGGGACCTCTGTGCTGCAGTATGTCCCAAGCAAGGCCTGTGCACAAAATAGTGGTAGACTATTTATTTTCAGTCTGGTAAAATGAAATGTTAATTTAATGATAGATCATTCTGAACATATGGATTCAGTGTCTTTAATAGAAATTAATAAAACTTACTTTGCTATCAGTTTGATCCCCTAGTTGAATCTTTATCAGATGCGGCACTTTGTGGCGACCAGTTAGCCTACCCAGATGCTCAACTAGAGAAGTTTTTCCACAACCAACTGGGCCCTGAAGCATCACAGGCTTATGACAAGATACAGCCAAGGCCAAACTACGAAGATGTTGTCGTGTAGATGGAACAAGGACCAAAGGACTATGTGCCTGTAAAAATGTCAAAATGCTTTTTGTGTTCTTGATCTCATATATATTTTCCAAAAAAGAATAATTTAAACACTACAGGAATACTTTACTTTGCTTGGATTAACATAGAGACATATAATGAATTATCTCACTTAATAAACATCAAGATAAGGTATTATAAAAATAATTCATGACATACAAAAAACATCGGAAAGTAACAATATTACTTTTAAAATATGCATCAAAAATGTGTATTCTTAAAATACTACTTCATGAAAATTCTAATAAAATATTTTGACCAGCTTTCACAGAACTGTACATGTGTAATCCAATCAACGTAAAAAAAATGTATTTTTGGTTCACTTATTAACAGCTTATTATGTACAAACCATATCATCTGGTTCAGCTGAACTTATTTTTGGCAGAAGTATTTCCATCACACTAACAACTGATGTGCTCAGGTCACTCATCACCAAATTCTGCCTTGTGTGTGTTTGTTGTGAATCCACATTTTCTACTTGCATTGCCCCACTTGCTGTCATTAACTTCTCCAGGTTGTGGAGTTTTTCAGACTCCACCCTTTAAATAAAGGGCAAATATTTAAAATGTATTCAATTTAGACTGAACACACAGCTAAAAAATTACCCGTGATAAGGCCCTTACATCATTCATTTGCTCATTCTTTCCTCACATCAATTCATTTAATTTATTTGCAAGTACACACTTTATATCCACACTAGATGGGGCAACACAGCCATTTTACACAAGTGTAAAATACAGGAAAAGGTGCAAAATCTGTTTTTTTAAAAAGTGCACGTGATCACTTGCAAAATAAAAGGATGAAGAGTTTTAAAAAATTCAAAAGATAATGTCATTGTTACTGCAAAATCTTTTGTTGAGGGAATAGCCTTAAATAACCATTTAAAAGGGGTAAATCTGTATTAAGTTTCTTTAGAGGGCAGACAATGTCCCTTTGAGGATTATTATATACACGTAACGCATGGAGTAAAATGCCCCTTCTGTCCATGTGACTTTTTGCAGCGGAACGGTGGAACATAAAATTATAAGAAGATAAACTCAATAACTTTCTCAAGACATACTATATTGATTCCCTTATAAATTCGAACAGTGGAATCTGTATTAATACAACTAGCATTATGACCTGAGGAATTATCAATAATTACATGTAAACTGCTATCAAAACACTATTGATTAGTGAAAAAAAACCTCAAAGTTTGATTTTTTATTTTTTTTAAATATTTGAACTTTAAACAAACTATTTTATTGAAAAGTTGTGATTGCTGAAACATTGGGGAAGATTGTTAACACGTTAGAATGCATGGGCAGCTACAGGGAGATTATTCATCAATTTTTCTCCTTGCTATGTTACACAATTGCCTATCGGCGTTCTGTGGACATAAAGGTTAAAATTGGTCATCACCAAATGGGGCAGTGTGGATATAAAGTGTTAAGTGTGTAAAATCAAATTTGCTTATATCACATATGAACCACATTGTATTTGAATGTTTAATATACACAGAGTATATTTCTATTTTCATTATGGAAGATACAAATAGTTAAAGCAAGGTCGTTTAGTTAAACAGTTATATAAAAACTGGGGACAAAGGTGAAGGATTTCTAAATAATTATTTGAACATTAATACTTTATACTATTATTTAAAAATACAAATATCTTATTTAAATCAATAAAAAAAATAATTGAAAAAAATAAAAACCTTAAAGTCATTGCTCTCTGTTCCTCAGATGTAAAATATTTCTTGAAAAACACTACAGTTTCACTTTCTGACATTGCTAAATATTTACACAATGCAGATGCAGCATACCTGTAGATACACATTCTTTATCAATTAAATGAGCACATTTTTATTTTTAAAAATTCAAAACAGAATAAATAAGTATTGGATTCAAATCTAATGCAGTAATTTACTCATATTTTGTCTTATTACCCCATTATTGATATTGTGCAAGTTGGAAGATTATAGACATGATGTCTAATCATTAAACTAGTTGAGTGCTGCCTTCCAACCTCAGTGAGTGCGGATTTTTTTAAAACTCGGGGGTTAGGGTTTCTTTCCCGAAATCTCACACGGGCACACACTTTTAGAATACAATTTACATTTTTTTTTTTTTTAAATTTCAGCAAATGACAGATTGTCACAAATTAGCGATAAGCCAAGACCTGTACAATCTAGTTAACTGCGCTGAATTACTAAGCTTAGTAGATCAAGTACACAGGTTCTCATGCGTTTTAAACTCATGACCATATTCATATAGAAGCAAAGTGACCATTACCACGATATATTGGAAAAAGGGGTTTTTAAATATGGTAAATTCTCCGCAAGGAAAACATTTTAAAACTTAATTTTTCATATATTTAACATCATGCTTGAAATAACAAATTGAGTTTCAACTAAAATAAGACACTGATTTAAAAAGAAAACTATTTAAATATCACTACTTCTAAGTCAATTGTTTCTCTTTGGCTGGAAACCTGTGCTCTAAAAACTTCACTAGCCCAAGATGCTCATGTGTCCAAACACCTTTATATTATGTAGCTTTTTATTTCCAACATCAACATAGTAAGATATATAAAAAATATAAAAATGTTATGTATTAACCTACCTAAATGTTGTTTTTTTAAAAATTCAAAATGAAGCCCTTGTTACAAGATGTTAGAAACATTTTCATGTAGCCATTTGGTAAAAATTTAGTGACTGATTAAAAACTAGAATCAGAGACCTGCACAGAATCCAAAACTTATTAATTGTTGAAGGTTTTTTTTCCAGTTTAAAATATATTTTTCATAAATTAATTTTATCTTGGGATGAGGAAAACTTTATTTATTCCCGTTTTCCCATGATAAGCAAAACCCCTCGGGAAATAAGAAACCCTACTCGGGGTTTACTTCATCCCCAAGAAGAGTCACCTTCTCAATCGAAGAGTTCATTCCGCATGCCTATTTGCCCTTAGCTTGGTGACTTACCCAAACTAATTAGAAGTTACTAACTCTTGGTTATGAAACGAACAATACTACCGTTTTTTCCATGATGCTGTCTAGAGCATTATGTAATTTTTATGGGCACAAAACCTGAAACCATTTAATTTTATCTCTTATACAGAACCTATCCATTCAATTAAAAAATGTTTGTATGCTGCTTTAAAAGAAGTATATGTGAGTCCTAAATATTTTTCAGAAACTTAAATATGGGAGCATTAATTGTTTTTTCTCTTAAACATAAATAATAACTATGTTCGCAGTCAACATTCCAAACTATAATAAGTATTTATACCATCCAATTTTTAAAAAAAACACATATATTAATATACTTTTTCTTTCCACTTGTATATTTTTTTAATTAGTTTCAGATATGAAAAAGTAACAAAATCACTCCTCACCATTTTACCATGAAATCTGATGATGTGATAAAGTCAGTCAGGCTGGCTATATCTATTTTGTCAGCCACCTCAGGCAAATACATGATGTAACACCACATTGCATGACACCAATCAATATCAGAAATCTGAAATTTAAATCGTATTAAGTACAATAATTTTTTTTAAAACCTATAAATTACAATTAATATTTTCCTTTCAAGACTTAACTATACAGACTAAATGCAGATGTTGAATTATCTTCTAGAAAAACTTGTTCATGTAGTCAACTATACCAATAACATAATAATTTTGTTGAAGCTTAAAAATACCTGCTTCTTTTTAGGTTTTTTGTATAAAGGTTCACCATCAGCTGAACCACTAACTGTTGAAAATGGTTTGTACAGTCTCACAAAGTCCACGGCATACCTTGAGAATAAATAAAAGTAAATTATTACCAACGAAGAACAGTAAAAGAGATAACATGAACTATTATGAGGCACTGGAATTATATATGGCCAGAATAATTTTGAATCTTAGCTATTTACACATTTTAAAAGTTGACCTGAATTTAAGTAGCAATAATATTCACCTCTTTAGTTCTGGACTCACACAGAAACCTCGACTAATCGTTATTGCAAATTTTCTCAAAAGTCTGTGACCAGAATGTCCATCTTTTAAAATAGACTGGGTCAAACGAGATGCAAGCTCCAATACTAAAGGTCCAAAAAATGCACAAATATCAACAACACAGTCACCATGAAGAAGTAGTTCTGACAGGCCAGTGAGAATAATATCACGGTCATGCTGAGTCCATATCTGTGGGAATGTCATCAATCATTGTTAAAATAGTATATTCTAATAAAAATAAAGTTACTTAGACCTTTATCTGTATAATATTTGATATATTTATATCATTAGTAGATTAAACTAACATTGAAGATAACATGTTCACTTCATAAATTAGAAGTAAGATTTTCCAGAATAAACCTAGATGAAATTCTTAAAGTTTTTAAGAACTATAAAATGCTTAAAGGTTGATTTTTAAATGTAGTTTTTCTTACTCAGGCTAAGACAATACAGAACATGATTAGGAGTGCTCAGAGAATATGGTTATGCGTGCACTTTATAGCATGAAACATCATATTACACAGAGGGAGTCCTGGGCATATTTATAATTATGTAGATGGAAGAAGGAGATTTAATTACCTTAAGTAACCACCCCTAAGTTAGTCATTGTCATGTGGCATACCTATACAGGAGTGGGGCAAATTTTGGACTTTTACCCATTGAGTCAAAGTAGTTATGCCAGTAGACCAAATTAAGGGATTTGGCTTAACTAAAACCAAGTAAAAGTAAAGCCAAAAAAAAAAAAGGATGCTCTCTTCAAACCATAAAGAAAAATACTGTCTCCTCCCCCCATTCAAAAGAGTTCAAAGTTGTGTCAAGCAACACTTGTAAATAACACACTAAGACTAATGCTGTGAAGGCAGCATTTACCACAAATCAATGCCTGTCAATGGAGTAAATTGAAGTAAATCATCAAGCTTTAATCTTATTGTTCAGTTGATTTAACATCAAAATTAGGCTTGTTTAATGTGCAGTCGCATGGGTTTTGCCAAGAGTTGTCTCAACCTAAGCACGGTGGCGTCAATTTGAGGCATCCTAACACTGGACTTAAGATGACTGGACCAACGATTAGACCTGAACGATGAGATTTCCGGTTCTTCACTGAACATTATTCGTGTCAAAAACATAATCTGACAATCCATTTAGCTCATTTCATATAAGTTAAAATGAATTTTCCATTCGGTTTATATAAAATTCAACTTACAAGATTCAAAGGAAATAAAAAGAGAAACTCATCCTCACTGATAACCCAAGATAAACACAGGAAAAAGGAAGCGCCTATGGTTAAATGTACCCATATGTTACTTATTTCTACAATGTCCCAATTTCAATTCAAAAATAAGAAAGGAAATAAATAATATCTCCCTCCCCAGAACCCCTCCCCCTTTTTTCAAGATGGGAAGAAATAAAACATCAAATATATAATGAGCTAAATTTTGAAATCTTTTGAAAAACCGAACTATGACCAGTAGGTAGCTGACATTGGGAACCTCCATGACCTATATACCGTGGAAGTCTTCGCCACCCTGCCCCTAATTGCATTTTAGACTTAGCAATAGCAATTTATAATTCAGTATTTCATCTGATAAAATGTAAATAAATTAATATTTGTTTTATTTAAAAGGCAATGTCTACACGTCCGGCAACCAGACAAATAGTGCGAGAGATATTCAGCCAGCGGGCATGTCACAAGAACTTCAAGAATGACCATCAAACCCATGAAGAAAGTAAACCATCCCTGAATGCTTTGATATTATGCTTTTCAATTTTTGGTTGATGCATTCTACACGATGTGTAGTGCTGTTAAAGAGATTCAAGCTTTGTCTCTTTAATCCTTCAACCCAGTGCATTTTTATGTCATGCCAGCTGACATTAAAATAGTCCATTACCAGTCAAGTTTAAGTGCCTTGAGACTTTCGTACTGTTTGTCATAATCCAACTCTTTAGCAGAGTAAACAAGCTTTTCTGGTATATCTAACACAAAGAGTCTCTGCACTGGCTTGATCCCCAATTTTTCTGATCTTACTTTTCTGCGAAAGGTATGCAGAGTGTGAAAAAGACAAATTTAGAGTGAGGCATTGGGAATTTTCTCACTCATCACGTAGAGCTCTCTCCTTCATATAGACTATTAGTGGTCACGTGACAAGGCTGACAAATATATCGGGCAACTTTGTTATGGCGGTCATGTGACTTGGTCACCGGACGAATAGCTCGAGAAATTATCCATCCAGTCGCCGGACATTTAGACTGTTGTAGACACTTCGTATTTTAACATGTATATTATATATTAAGAGTATTTTGAGTAAATGATGTAAAATGCCTTTTCTGTGTTTGATACATGGGGGCTATAACTATAGTGTAAACCAGGCCTGCACAACTCAAAATGTAATGCGGGCCGTACTACTTTATGAAAAACTTGTGCGGGCCAAAAGAAAATAGGACAGGGGGACATCTATTAAGAAAATAATAAGAATAAAGAATATTTCGTTACTTCAGGGGCTACAAAATGGGTGCTGGCCCGCGGGCCATATGTTGTGGAGGCCTGGTGTAAACCATTGGAGTTGAAAAACTAACTAGGAAACACTGAACTCAAGATCTACAGTCTATGACTATGGGACTATTTAAAAATGTATTTATAAGTTTAAAAGTAGGCCTATGGGGCCATCCATAAATGACGTCATGCAAATTTTGCCCAATTTTGACCCCCCCCCCCCTTGTCACAAAAAGGTAGAGGCCCCCCCCACCCCTTTTCAAATATAACATCAAAAATCTCTGCACATCCCCACTATAAAAATTCCCAGTGTCCACTACTGTCCTTTACAGACACTTCAGAAATTCACCGCCCATGGATCTCAAATTACTACACCTGTGTCAGAAAAATTTGACTAGACGCAGTGGTTCTAAACCAAGGTTAAAAGCTCCTCCCCAATCCTGAGGTGTGGAAGACCAGAAAATAGCATTTGTTGCAATTGCTAGTTGCTACTGCTTTTTTTTTTTTTTTGAAATTACTTTTATACATTTTTGAATAGCAGCCGCAAGTGTTTTTCTGGTGAATTTTGTTTGCACATTACTTGTATTGGTAATTTTTTTCGTGTCTATAAAAATTTAATTAAATAAATAAAACTATGATACCCAGTAAATAAATTATTTAATTATTTTCATATTATACTAGCCAATATACCTGGCGTTACCCGGGATTGTATTCACAAAAACAACTTCTACCGCCTATTTCCCGTTTAACAATGGTATCCCTCTCCTGGAGGGACCCTGTTTGGATCCCAATCCCGATGTAATCCCGTTTCATTAAGGGATCCTGATGGTATCCTGATCCCAACAGAATCTGATCCAAATGGGATCTTGTTCACGATGGGATACTGATCCTGTAATCACCTCGCTGATAGGATCATGATTTGATCGCGTTACCCGATGGGATCGTGTTACCGTTGTTTCCCAGTTTACTATTTAATCACATTTCCTTTTAGGATGATGTTCCTCGGTGGGATCCTGTTCTTCGGTGGGATCATGTTCCCAGTTGGATTGGTTCCCAATAGGATTATGAAGGGTATGATTGGAGAAAATCCCCATGCATGTATAGAAATGAAAAGAACTAAACTAACAATTCAAAAAGCTTTTAGATCCATTACATATTGCAGTAGAGCGAAAATAGAACATTCTGGATTAAATTTGATATCCTCCTCGAAACATGTGAAGAATTACTTTTGGACATTATTTTTCTAATACAAAAAGTTATAACTTTATGCACAACTATAAATATAGTACATTTAATTTGAAAGAGGGGCCCCATTCCATAGGTGTACTGTTTTAGCTGTAAAATTCAGTCAGATAAAAAATAGAGTTAAAATTCAAAAGTTGCCTCATTAAAATCGGTTTAAAAATGCCATGGATTTAACCTTTTTAAAATAATCCAACATTCTGGAAAAGTCTAGATCGGCCCAGAAAGGACTAGACATTATTCATTTTAAATCCACCGATATTTCAATACCGACAATGAAGAATATTGCTACCAAGCTAGGCCTATATCTGTCAATTCACATAGAACCTATAGTGTTGTCTAAGCCTATTGATAGTTATATACTTACTATACTTACTAAGATCACCCCCAACCCCCCCCCCCCCCAGTCAACCTTTTTTTTTCGTTCCATCCCATTTCCATTACCATTTCAGATGTATTCTGTGACTCCTATCTCCACATTTTGACATAAATTCTCTCGACTGTCAATGTCACTACACTAATTTATTAAAAAATGTTTTTTGATATATTAAATTATTGTCTATGTACTGCTTTTCTATGTTCTAATAAAATATATTTATTTACTATGATGTTGTTTGAGTCTTGTTTATTAATTTGATGTACCGGGTATTTTAATAAAACTAAAACTGTTATATTTAGGCTTAACTAA